TTGTTGAAAAGTAACAGCAGGAGAAGGCTGTTGTATTCATGTCCTGCTTATGACCTTTGCAAAAATATCTGGTTGACCACTGTGGGAAACAGGATGCACACATTCCTTCATCTACACACCTGCTCAAGCACTGAGGTCAGTTGGAGTGGTGATCTTCTATGCTGCACATGTGGGGAGAACACATTGTGGTAGGATATAGGAGAGAGGTTTATTGCTGTGATACAATGGTTATGGAATTGGACAGCCAGTGCTGGTGTCAAAATATGGCTTTTTATGAAAGCCTTCAGGATCTAACAGCTTTAATCTAATTGGCGTATATGTTATAGTTTACAAGAGTTTAGATCCTGCTATGTGGTTTTACTCTCTCTTACTTTAGTGTTAAATGGTTTAATATACTTTTAGTCTTCTTAAAATTAAAACAAGATGATGCTTTAAACTGATATTATAGTTCATCATCCTGAGATCTTCCAATATGTGGCAGGATATGAATATTTAAATAAGATGAAATAAATAAACTATTCAGTAGTACTGTAGTGGAAGATAAGCTCTGTTCCAAAATAATTTACCACAAAAATATGAGTCTCCCAGATTTTATAGGGTATGAACAGGACAGGGTCTCAATGACATAATAACATACTTCATTAACATATACACAAGCGTGTTCACAGATTTGGAAAAAGGGGCACTTCAAATTGCTTCTCCTCTTGGGAATGTGCTTTGTTCAATGCAGAGATAATTCTAAAACAATAGGATGGTGCCTGAAACTTGGAGAAGTGTGCTAGTCCACTTCCTATGTTTGGGATTGAGGAAAATCTACCATGTTTGTTATTGTCTTCAATCTAATCAAGGAAGGAGGACCTTGCCCCTTCTCAAGACTATGTGTTTGACACAGGGTTAAACTCTTTCTGTGGGTCCCAGATTGAGTTTTGTGCTTATTTTTTTCTTGGAATAACTGCAAACAACCATTCCTTAATAGAAAGGAAAGGCTTACTGAGCTGCATAATTCACAGTCACCTTGCTTAACTACTACAAGAAGGAGGCATACACTTGCTCTTTGACTAGGAGAGTTCATATTCTGCATCTTGTAGGGTTTATTATCATCTCAAATAAAGGCGAGAATCTGGAAGCACTTCTACAGATGAAGTTATGCAGGAGTATTTCAAGTCCTGAGGGTTTAAAAGACATGTTGACTCCCACACTGATGCCTATGCCAAGGATCTACTCTATTCTCTTAGGGCACTTTACTAAACGCACAGCTCAGTCGATGTAGACACTGAAGGTGAAGGAGAAGGCTTGAATGCAGTACAACAATGTGAACCCCACTTCTTACAATCATGCATAAAGATCACAGCACATCTGCTCCTATAACTGCAGAAATACAAAACACCAGTGGGTGTAAAGACTTAATGTTCATGGTAATAAAATGATTGCAAACTAGCCTTGGTTAAGGGGAAAAAACAGATAATGTTCCTTTCCCCTTTCCTTAAACAAGTATGAGATTTCCCCCCCCCCCCCCCCGCCCCACAGAAAACCTAAAAGAACTTTTAACTGAGAGGGAGGGAGTCTGTTTTAACTAGGATGCTAAACCCAATTAAACTGCAGTACAGTTATCCCCTAAAGGCACCAGATCCTGTCTCATCCTAGGAGGCCAAACAGGGTCACCTCTAATTAGTACTTGAAGGGATACTACCAACAAACACCAGGTGCCAAAACTATATTTCAGAGGAAGGAACTGGAAAGCCATCCCTGGATATTTCCTGCCTGAATAAACAGTCTAAAATTTGTGGGGACACTGTAAGTTGATGGGCACCTTGAAGACACATATACACAGTTCTCTTGAGATGATAGCAGAGAAGACAGAACTATCCAATGAAATGAAAGGTCAAGATTCAGAGTGACTAATTTGAGGAAGACCCTATCTGTGGCCAGGCGGAAACATAGTCCTGTATGTGGGCCTCAATGGAACATCAATCTTTTTATTTAAGTATGTTTAGTAGTAGGTTAAAATGTGATATATTTACCGATTGCACTTCATCCTGCCTTCATATTAAAAATGACTCTTAAACCTGTTAATAGCACTATAAAAAAATTAAGCAAGAAAATCATTACCAGTAAGTAAGAAAGGTTCTCAGAATGCATGCTTGAAGTGTCTTAATTTTGAGTTTTCTGCTAATTTGATAATTCTACAGGCTTTTAACAGTATAGCCGTATGCATGTTTGTTGTGAAGTGTTACATGGAGCTTACTCACAGGTTACTAAGCACAAGCACAGGGCTTCAGCCAAAAACCAAGAAAAAACATTTTGAAGTCAAGAACAGGAAAAAAGAAAAGCTAAAACAAAAACACCCCTGAGATTTTGAAAAGTGGGTCAAACAAGAAACTAAAGGCTTCAATTTATAACACTTCTATGTTTTTATTACCAAGTCATAAATAAACCCAGAAAGACAAGTGATATAAATATTTTTGCAGTAGTTTATACTAGAAAAGAGGAAAGGAATTTAACAAGCAATTAACCACTTAGGTGTTTCTGGAAAGCTTCCATATGGTCTTAGAGATTATATATATAAGACAGAGCAATGGCTTATGGGAGTTTTGCCTTAGTTTTAATAGGACTGGTCAGTCACAACTAACCTGTGCCTCACTGCAATCTTATACTTATCTCCTCAAATGTAAAGCTCATTTGAGGTCAAGAGAACTGACTTCTAGGCATGTGAGGGTAGGATTACAGCTTTAACTTTATTTGGTTTGGGATCATTTTCTGTAGTTTTCCTGTTTAAACGGAAAAAATGAAAGGCTTACAAAAAGCCAAGATTCATGTGCTGATTTCAAAGTACCAACTTTTGTTATGGTTTTGAAATCCATGTTGAGTTTATGAAACCACCCCTATAAAGTAAGCACCACAGACTATTTACAGAATATTCCACAAAAGGGTTTGTTACACATTCATTTAAGTTTCCCTTTCCTTTGCACAGTCTCTTAAAATCTAGTTTTACAGTGTACTTTAAGATGACACAGTTGAAAGCTCATCTCAGGGTATACAGTATGAATAAACAAAAAGCTTTTCCACTTTAGTTGAAACAGTTACAAGCATTCCAGAATGGAGATATGTTTTCAAGACTCTAAATTCTAATTTTAAAAAATGCCTGTGTTTATATAAATTGAATGAAAAGAGTCAAACTGACGACATTTGATTTAAATTGATCCTTTTCTACTTTCTATATAAAAAGTACAACATCCAATTTTTTTGAATTACAGATGAAAAGCACTCTAAGCACCGATGGTATATGTAGGCTAACAGTTATATTATACTCATAAGAAATTATAAACAAAGTAAAACCCAAGTGATTTGAAGTGGTAACTCAGGATTTTTTTGAGGCTTTACTCTAGGAATTTGTCCAACTCCGCCTCTAGAATCCTCTCAAAGCAGTGAAGTTGTCGATCTTCCTCCCAGCCTATTTTAGTCAGAGGAAGACCTCTCTCTCTCTCATATTTACAAACACAGAATTATATGGAGAGTGGGGTCACTTAGTCTTGAAAAAAAATTCCCATCCATCTAAATACAGTCCATGGGATGAAAATGAGACAAACAGACATTAGGCCTCCTGGTGGGTAATATTGGCCACCAACTGGGGAACTAGAAGAGATACAAACGGGCTGTAGGCTGCAGTGTGGACCCTGAGAACCACACTTAGCCCATCCCTGCCTTATAGCAAACCAATACTATGCTTGTCCAAAAAACAACAAAGTATCTTCCATAGGTTGTATATCAGAGACTAGGGAAAATTGTCCCTCCATTTTATTCCTTGACTATATCTCCCAGAAGACCCAGTCAGTCTGGTTGATGAACAGATGATGAGAGTTGTGGTCCAAAATAACACTGGATCAAAAATTTCACACTGTAGCTGTAAATTCAGCAAACAAGCCATATGTTGAGGACCACAAGGCACTAAATGTCTCATGACACCACATATCTGCAGCCCACTTAGGGTAGTAAAGCCTGTCCCCCAGCACTCTACAATCTGATGGACTTTAATGTAGTGCTGAAACTGACCAAATCATCTGCTGACTGGCGACTACTTACCAAAGCAGACTCTTTTAAGCATGGCCATCACTCATCACACTCCAGTTGAAGAAACGGAAAGATTTGTGTATATTTGTGTCCCTGCAGAACTTTACTCTCAGGAATAGCAGTGCCAGAAATTGTTGAATTTCACCTCATAGAATTCTGTCCACTGTCCATTTGGGGCTCCAGGAATTTAAGTCCAAGTGGCACAGCGGGTTAAACCACTGAGCTACTGAACTTGCTGGTCGAAAGGTTGGTGGTTCAAATCTGGGGAGCAGGGTGAGCTCCTGCTTTTAACCCGTTTCTGCCAACCTAGCAGGTCAATAACATGCAAATAGGTACCGGATCTTCGAGAAGGTAACAGCGCTCCATGTAGTCATGCTGGTCACATGACCTTGGTGGTGTCTACAGACAATGCCGGCTCTTCGGCTTAGAAATGGAGATGAGCACCACCACTCAAGAGTCAGACATGACTAGACTTAATGTCAAGGGAAACCTTTACCCTTACTAATATACAGAACCACTGTTCTACAGTGACATGAACATACCATTGTTAGAGGAAGGACACATGTTAACATGTGCCATGGTGTATGCATGGCAATGTGTGAAAGGCAATTTTTGAAAGGAAGAAAGAGGATGAATTTTAAGCTTTTGCTTCTCTTTTTACCCTGAACCATTTTACAACTTGTTTCTGGTTAGCTTCACCTTTGTTTCTAAAGCAAAACTACAGAATGAAAACATAAAGTAAAAAAAGCCCACCACTTTTCTGCTCATGCACGCATGGATTTTTTTTTAAATAGATTTTACTATGGAGTATTTTCTGGGGTTTTTAGTTTTGAGTGAAAGAAGATGACTTTATTCTGTAAGTTAATTTGAAGAAGACACTGGTTGCTTTTCATTTTCCTTTAAAACAAGAATTTGCATTAACTGGTACTCACAGTATTAGGAACATATGGCAATCCATAAAATTTCTCTTGCGTTTCCTTTAAAATGTCTGTGGTTGATTTCTCTAGAGGATGTTTCCCATGGTATATTTGGTCCAGAACAGCATAAAAGACCTAGACAGATAATATATGTTATACTTGACTGAAGCTCAGGCTTGCCATTCACTGTGTGGTTAACCAATCCAGACATGTAGTGTTATTTAAAAAAAGATTAAAGAGCACATGTTTCCTTGCTTTTCTTTAGGTAATCAATGCAAAACATCATATGGAATGATTTTGTTGACAAATACAGTATTCTCATTGTATGAATAATAGTTTGTCAAAATGAGCCTAGTATTTTCACAGGTCTCTCAGACTGACCCAAAGGATTACATGTTACATCAACTGTGTATATACATTTATGTTATAAAAGTATCCTTCTGTCTCCTCACAACTATTCAGTAGGGCTGGGCAACCACGGAAAAATTTGTTTCTAAACTCGATTCGTTTTTAGGGGGGTTTTGCGTTTCGATTTTTAAATTAATTCGGAAATTTTCCTTTAAAAAATTTCGATATTTACGAAATTTCGTAAATTACGAATCAATTACGAATCGATTTCGAAACAATTACGAATCGATTCGTTAATGGCGGACGCGATTGCGTGATACGCTAAAAAACCCTCCAAATGGGACAGGGGGAACTTCTGAAGCTTCCCTCTCCCTCTGTTGTTGACTGTTGGTGTGATAATTTTTTTTTCACTGATAAAACAAACAACGACTATAAAACTTGCACCAGACATGCAGAAATAATAACGAAACGATTTCGAATCAATTACGAATCGATTTCGAAACAATTACGAAACGAATTGAAAAAATTCGTTTCTTTTTTAGTTGCTCCTGAATGGTTCAATATTGCTTCGTTATCAAAAAAATAACGAATTAATAACGAATTACGAAATTAACGAACGAAACCGCCCAGCCCTACTATTCAGATACTCAGATGCTATATATGATCAGATTTAAGATTTCCATTTTTTAGAAAAGATCTCGTGGGCCATCCAGTCCAACCCCCTGCCAAGAAGCAGGAAAATCGCATTCAAAAGCACCCCAGACAGATGGCCATCCAGCCTCTGCTTAAAAGCCTCCAAAGAAGGAGCCTCCACCACACTCCGGGGCAGAGCGTTCCACTGCTGAACAGCTCTCACAGTCAGGAATCTCCTCTCCTGTAGTTTGAAGCCATTGTTCCACGTCTTAGTCTCCAAGGCCACAAAAATCAAGCTTGCTCCCTCCTCCCTATGACTTCCCCTCATATATTTATACATGGCCATCATGTCTCCTCTCAGCCTTCTCTTCTTCAGGCTAGACATGCCCAGCTCTTAAAGCCTCACCTCATAGGGCTTGTTCTCCAGACCCTTGATCATTTTAGTCACCCTCCTCTGGACACATTCCAGCTTGTCAACATTCCCTTCAATTGTGGTGCCCAGAATTGGCCACAGTATTCCAGGTGTGGTCTAACCAAGGCAGAATAAAGGGTAGTTTGACTTCCCTGGATCTAGACACTATATTCCTATTTATGCAGGCCAAAATCCCATTGGCTTTTTTAGCCACCACATCACATTGTTGGCTCATGTTTAACTTGTTGTCCACAAGGGCTCAAAGATCCTTTTCACATGTACTGCTGTCAAGCCAGGCATCCCCCATTCTGTATTTTTGCATTTCATTTTTACTACCTAAGTGGAGTATATTGTATTTGTCACTGTTGAACTTCATTTTTGTTAGTTTTGGTCAATCATCTCTCTAATCTGTTAAGATCGTTTCGAATTCTGCTCCTGTCTTTTGGAGAATTAGCTATCCCTCCCAATTTGGTGTCTTACATTCATATAAAATCCTATACAGGTATGTGCACATTTGGTCTTAATAGGAACAAGTCAAGCAGAGATGGAGAATCTTATTCTTAGATCCTTCAGATGCTTTTAGAGGTCTTTCAAAATCGACTGTAAACAGCTTGGTACCATTCTAGCGCTAGTGCTAATTGTGTTGGACTCAAAGGGACCTGGTTCAATCTAAATTATATACAAAGAAAATAATCTTCAAGTAGTAGAATACACATCTCCAGGGATCAACTTAGCAGGACCCTTTCAAGCAACTCTTAGAATGTGGTCACTAAAACACAAAGTCTGGAGGACTTGACTTTCCCCTCCAAATTTTCCAAATGTTACAGGTTTATATGTTTTAAAAAATTGTAGTGTATTGTTGAACCCTTTCAAGGATGGAATCACAGGGTTGTTGTGTGGTTTCCAGGCTGTATGGCTGTGTTCCAGCAACATTTTCTCTTGATGTTTCACCTGCATCTGTGGGTTGCATCTTCAGAGGATCCTCTGAAGACGCCAGCTACAGCTGCAGTGAAATGTCAGGAGAAAATATTGCTAGAACATGGCCAGACAGTCCAGAAATGACACAACATCCCCAAATGCAGTGCTTTCTCTAAAGAGAGGAATGGTGCATTATGTATTCTTGAATCTCAAGAGTTTCTCTCTCCCCAATGAAATCAGCATAATTTGAAAAGGCGTAAGGTTGACTGGATTGTATGCAGATATTCACACATTTTAAGAACGTCGTTTCTTGGCTCTAAGAACCACCAATTATCTGCCTTTGCTCTGTGGAACTTGGCAAAGAACGTTACAGCATGACTTTGGGTAGGACATGCCACCCACGACTTTCTGGTCCTAATGTCTGGAAGGCTATAAAATAAAATGCTTTCATCATGTTAAGAAAAGCAAGATAATATTTCTGACACGGGAAAGATGAGAAAGATGGTATTCCATATGACTTGGATACTGAAAAAACAGAAGGCCTGCTGCGTCTCGGGGGGGGGGGGGGAACTAAATTACTATGAAACTCCAAAATGGTTACAGATACACCAGTAGTTTTGCCCTAGGGCAATTTCATTCTGGTTTTTAATGGAGCAAAAGTTATATTATTTTGGATTCCAAAAAGAGTGAGGGTCATATCTTAGAATGGTTTGCTCATATAAAAAGTCCTTGCATAAAATGATGATGATGATGATGAGCACACTGGGTGCAGTGCCTAAAGACCTTGGTCTGCACTTAAAAAACAATTGGTGCTGACAAAATTACCACCTGTCAGCTGCAAAAGGGCACCCTACTGGGATCTCCACACATTATTCGCTGATACATCATACAGTCCTAGACATCTGGGAATTTTCCGATGTGTGATCAAATACAACAGCCAGCATAGTGACCTTGTTTGTTGTGTACTAATCTTGTTGTGTTTCAAAAAAAAAAGTTTGGTGAAGTTGTTATTAGAATGAAAAGGGGTTTTAAAAATCACTTCTTCCTCAATGCAATCCAGTCTAAAATTGATTCTTTTGATGTGAAAAGGAAGCGCTAAATACCTTCCATTCAGAATTCCACATATTTCCAGTCCATCTGTGGCTTTGGAGTCAACTGAAGGGGAAAGAGCTAGGAATTTAAAGGTATAATTATCTAAGCCTTGATATCCTGCTGTGGCTTGGAAGAGATAGGCATTTTACCACAATTATGTTTCAAACTGCCCTTGTTCTTTGCGGGATGAAGTGGATGACCTAGGCATAACACTGAGTCACCCTTCAATTTGCAAGAAGCTGAGGACACTGCTATCGCTGCCAGAAGGAAAGTGACTCTGCCATTATGGTTCTTGATGTCATGACGCAGATGGCATCAGTATCTTTCACAATGGCATGTTTTAAAAGCAGCAAATCTGAAGCAAGTTTTAGGCAGGGCAGTCTTCCTCGCAGGAACACTGTGATTGACTGAGAGTATCCTTAGTTGATCTGAGCCTGATTGTTCACATAGCAAGGGCAAAAATAGAGACTTGCTCTTAGCCTGGAACATCTCCAAAGGTGGAGACATTTGGGAGGTGATACAAAGCCCTTTTCTCCGAGCTAGCACTTACTTGCTACTTTCTGTTTAAAAGGTTTCCTAGTCTAAATAAAGAATACGGTATGCATTTTTACATGGCACTCAAGGCAAAACATTTTAAAAAACAGTCAGGGAGACAAGGGCTAATCTTGTCATCAACCTCAATGAGCATTTCTGCTTCCAATAACTTCTGCTCTTGCAGACCAGCTTCATCAGACAAGGATTAAAATGACCTACAGTATGAACTAAGGGTGAACAAACAGATGCATTTAAGACCACAGCTAACATTTAATTCTCCCTCTGGCAATGCATTTTAGGTTTTTCGCAAGAAAAGTTTTCTTTATTAAAGAGAAACAACTGAAAAGGGATTGCCAATTGACTTCCTTATCCACCGAGCCAGTAACACTTAATTATTTACAGAGCACCACTGATAACTTCTCAAAAAAGGTCAATAGTTTAAAAGCTATTTTAATCATTTGAGGGGCGTAAACAGAAACCAAATGTGTTTTGTAACAGAAGAGAACATATAATGAAAGTCTTATTAGTTTTTATGTTCCAGATGAACAGAACTCTCCTTTGATTTTTAAAAAGAATGTGTGGTAGGTGTGTGCTTATTATGGGTAAGGCTATATTCCATTTGTATAGCTGTCTAAAATGGAATAAACTCTAATTAAAAATGTTTGAATGTATTGCCTCTTTCAAATAAATTAGATTTGAGTCTCTTTAAAAAAAATCCATCCATAGGTTCAGCTTGTAGTTTTGGCAAAACATATTTATTTATTATAGATTTATGATGGTTTAGGCCCTCATCTGTGTATTTAAATCTAAAATATAAACATTTCCGAGAGATTATGTTGCTCCTGTTTGCATGATTAGTTTCTGAAAAACACATGGCAACTAGGCAAACATTTCAGGTTCATTGCCAGAAAGTAAACTAGGCCTGCTTGGTCTCGCTCTGGATGTTTATGTTCCAGGCTGGTGGTTTCCGAGACATTTAAGGGCTACACTGCTTATAACTCCAAGATAGCCCACAATTAACATGGGCTTCTTTTGAATGTGATAAGGCTGCACATCTACTGCCTCATCCCTTACACAAGTGCCACAAACAAAGCACCTAGATCAATGGTTCTCAAAATTTTTGTCCTCCAGAGATTTGGGACATCTCCCAGATGCCCTAGTCAAACAGTTAATGTTCAAGAATTCTGAGAGTTGAAGCTCAAACATTGAGAAACACAGATCTAAATATATAAATATGACCTATGCCTTAATTCTCATTCTGCCTTAAGTGATGTGCAGGGAAATGCTGACATTGATTTTAACCTTGCTTAATGTTAACCCAGAGTTCCCTTTCAATCAGGATCAAAAACTAAGTTTATATTTCAAACTGAACCTAACTGAAAGGAAATGTAAGCCCCTTATACACTGCCCTATATGATCCTAGATTATCTGTTTTAAACTGTATTGTATGAGTCTCCACTGCCAGATAAGCTTAGATGTCCAAATGAATCTCCCCCTATGAACCATCTCGAAGGTTAAGATCATCCAAGGAGGTCCTGCTCTTGATTCCCATCCCCCTCGCAGAAGCGACTGGTGGGGATGAGAGACATGGCCTTCTCAGTGGTGGCCCCTCCCCCCCCCAAGGAAATTAGATCAGCTCCCTCCCTCCTGGCCTTCAGGAATCATAGAATCAAAGAGTTGGAAGAGACCTCATGGGCCATCCAGTCCAACCCTCTGCCAAGAAGCAGGAATATTGCATTCAAATCACCCCTGACAGGTGGCCATCCAGCCTCTGTTTAAAGCTTCCAAAGAAGGAGCCTCCACCACACTCCAGGGCAGAGAGTTCCACTGCTGAAAGTGAAGACATGAATGTGGGACCAAACCTTTGGACAATGATTCCCAGTGCAATAATGAATAATGCAACTGACAACTGGAATGGCTCCAGGAATGTGTCTTTGGATTGTGTGGTTCTGATTGTTTTAAGATTGATATGTTTTAATTATGTGGGTTTAAAGAATATATTGTTTTAATTCTATATATGTATTTATGGCATTGAATTGTGCCGTTGTTGTGAGCCACCCTGAGTCCCCTTTGGGGTGAGAAAGGTGGGATATAAATGCAGTAATTAATTAATTAATTAATAATCTGGGGGAAAGCAGATAATCTGGGATCAAATCCTGGGATATGGGGGCAGTGTGGAAGGGGCCTTAGTTAGCATTGACCATGGTGGCACGTTTGTTCTAATACTGACTTAGCCAAAGTGAAAATTAATTCAGGGGATGCATAGGGATAGAAAACATACTTCTGAAAGTAGTTACCTTTATTAATGGCATTTGAAAGAAAATCAGGTTTCCATCATCCTAGAGACTGACACTAAGACTGGATCTACACTGCCCTGAATCCCAGGATCTAATCCCAGATTATCTACTTATCATAATCTGGCAGTTTAGATTTATCTAATCTAGTTCAAAGCAGATAATATGGGATCAGATCCTGGGATATAGGGCAATGTAGATCCAGCCTAAATCTCCTTTAATTTTTTTTCCAGGCACTGGAGACCTTATTCTAAAATAAATTTTTGTTTTTTTGCTGCCATATGTTAAGGAAAGATCTGCATTTATTTGCATCTCTCTCACACAAACTTCATCACATTTCAAAGAGCTGGGATGGATCAGATTACCCATTTTAAGTAAAGATATATGCAAAGACAATGGATTTTTAAAAGGGCAGATTTCGAAGGAAATTTTTGTTAGTACTTTAAAGTAAAAAAAAATTGAAATTAAATTCATTAATAAAATTATATCTATTTCAATGAAATAATATTTAAAATTATATTCTGTTAACGAAAACATTGTTGCCACTTTATAATAAGGTTAAACTCATATGGAACTAATCAACATACCTGTAATTGCATATCAGCAGCAGCACAAACCTTTTTAGATTCACAGAGTCTTGACACCATGTTTTTGGGCAGTGGCTTGAATAAAAAAGAAGACAAAAATTGTAAATTTTTAAAGATTTTTATATGTAACTAAAAACATAATAGAATAATATGAAGTCATATGGGAGACCCTCACTCAAGATTCTCATTTTGCCTGTCATCTGAACTGCTTTTCGAGAAGACACTCATTTATGTTCTGTTTTATTACGCTTCCTTTAAAAAAGAAAATGTACACATGGAAATACAACCAGCTGTTTTCTCAGGCCAAACTAAGGAAGTAGCAAATGACATGAAGCACAAAATCACTTTTTTCTTGGAAAGAGAACCCCTTGATTCTGCATAAAAGGACTGGATGCTAGTATAGGAAGAAAAGTGATAACCAATAGGATGGGATAGTCCTCAATGATTCACTCTTTGCTGTGCTGTACCTTTCACCTTATTTCTGGTTCAAATGGTGCACTCTAATTTTCTAATGATACAGAATGATAGTTGATGCAATGGGTTAAACCCTTGTGACAGATTAAACCTGTCGGTCAGCAGCAGGACTGCTGATGGACAGGTCAACGGTTCAACCGGGGAGAACGGGTTGAGCTCCCTCTGTCAGCTCTAGCTCCCCATGTGGGGACATGAGAGAAGCCTCCCACAAGGATGGCAAAACATCAAACATCCTGACATCCCCTGGGCAATGTCCTTGCAGGTGGCCAATTCTCTCGACATTAGAAGCGACTTGCAGTTTCTCAAGTCGTTCCTGACACAGGAAGAAAAAAAAGGATATTGCAAATCAGTAATAATATTTATAAAACTGCTTTTATTCCATTTTTGGTTTCAATGGGAAAACTCCTACTGAGTGGAAAAGTGAAAATAAACACTAGTTTCTGGCACAAATGCAGATTTTTCCTATATAGTCCATGCTCGAGGGAGCACATGACAAAGTCATTGTGGAGAGATATTGCAATTGTTATTATTTCTAGATTGAAATCAAAAGCAGCTAACATACCTTATTACAATAACTGCCTTATTACAAGAGGAGCATTAAGTAGCACAGAAGAGATATCTCTTTAATTCATTCAAGACAGAGAGGGAGAGAGAGAATGAATATGACTTGGAAAACCATAGCTAGAAGCAACCCTCAGGAAACAGTTTCACTACATCTACTTTTCTTCTTTTTATGCACATATCCTGAGGTTATCCTAAGCTTTCCCCTGCCGTCATGGCATTTAAGACACAAGGAAAGGTTTACTTATGGCCGGGTGGGAACCTCCCTAACTGGGCTCCTATTTCCAGTGGCAGCCCTGTGTTTCATATAATGTACAGGTCTGCTCTGAGTGTTGGAGTGATGAAAGCTTCTAAAAAGCTTCTTTAGCTCCTAAAATGGAACACAGATGTCTGGCATTTACAAAGAACTATTCGATCATGCCTGAAGTTTTACGGTCGAAGGGTTTAAAAATTATTTTACCAAAATCCGACCACACACCAACATGTTCAGGTTCTGTGCCGTTTATGGCATCCAGAAAAAACTATTATGATGTTAATGGAATAAAAGCAGTTTTATAAATATTATTACTGAAAACTGAGTAAAATGTTACTGACTTACTGAAGAGACACTGGAAGTGAAAACAGATACGAAAATTGAAAGAGTCCTTTACATACTAGTTAGGCCAAGCAAGATCTGTAATTTTCCCATTCAGAAAATAGCAGTATAGTTTTGAAAATTTAGGAATGTTCTGCATGTGCAACATTGTAATTTTCCATAGAACCCCCTCCTCATTTATTCCACACTGTAGTAAAATTGCTATTTTGGGACTCAGCCCCCAGATATGGGCCCTCTGATTAGGAAAAAAAATCTAACCAGGAGAACAGACTTCCTCACAAATATGCAGGCAAACATGAAAAGACCAGCATCAGCGACAGACCACACACAGTCCTAATTGGCACAAACAGAGATAAAAGCAAGACAGGTGAACCCAAAGCTTTCCTCTTTTTTTACCTCTTCTAATGAAAGAAATGTACAAGTTGCAAACATAACACACTCTCTCAAGCTGGTAATTATTACTTTGCAAGTTAATCCTTTATTCCTCTCATCTTCATAGCTATAGCCCATAATAGCCAGGTGGCAAACCTTGCTTAAGGGGAAGAATAAGTTCGGGCATCCAAGAGGCTCAAAGAGCACTCATTCATTTTGCTGTGTTCTGTAGCTTAATTTACAAAGTCAAATAATTAATCTTGCAAAACAGCATAAACAGAACTTGTGGCAAGACGGATAAGGTCACTTTCTTCTTCACAATGGATGGAGTCAACATGAGGCAGTTCTCACTTGGTTTTAATTTCCTTCCATGAACCACTGGAAGTGGACCATGGAGTTATGCTGGAGCATCTAGAGCAGGGGTCCTCAAACTATGGCCCAGGGGCCGGATACGGCCTTCCAAGGTCATTTACCTGGCCCTCGCTCAGGGTCAACCTAAGTCTGAAATGACTTGAAAGCACACAACAACAACAACAACAACAACAACAACAACAACAACAACCAAAAACAAGCACCGGGATTGTGGCGCAGCTGGCTGAGTGTCAGCTGCATTAAGATCACTCTGACCAAAAGGTCATGAGTTCGAAGCCAGCCCGGGTTGGAGTGGGTTTCCAACCAATTGTGTGTAGCCTGTTGTCGACCTTTGCAACCCGAAAGACAGTTGCATCTGTCAAGTAGGAAAATTAGGTACCACCTTAAAGTGTGGGGAGGCTAAATTAACTGATTTATGAAGCCATAAAGAAGACTCCAGCAAAGCATTCCAGCGGGGAAGCATGTGGGGAATGTGGAGGTGATTCATCAGCGTCGCAGATGGACGACGAGAGTGACAGCTCCCTTGGCGGCCAGAAAAAGTTAAATAGCCTCTGTGTATGTCTGTATATGTTTGTATGTCGAAAATTGGCATTGAATGTTTGCCATATATGTGTACACTGTAATCCGCCCTGTCACCTGCGGGGTGAGAAGGACGGAATATAAAAGCTGTAAATAAATAAATAAAATAAATAAATAAACAACAACAATCCTATCTCATCAGCCAAAAGCATGCCCACACTTTCCATTGAAATACTAAAAAAAATTATTTGTTAAAATTGTTCTTCATTTTAATTATTGTATTGTTTTTAAGTGTTTATTGAACACTGTGCCATGTTCATAGGAATTCATTCATGGTTTTTTTTTTTAATTATAATCCGGCACTCCAACAGTTTGAGGGACTGTGACCTGGCCCACTGTTTAAAAAGTTTGAGGACCCCTGATCTAGCGCATCCCAGAAAAACATTCTCCAGGTCTTCCACCAGAAACTTATTGTTAACCTCTGGCAGAAGCTGACCACAGAGTCACACTGGAGGACCTCGAAGTTGAGAGATCATATTAATCAAAATCATGAAGAATCAAACTCATAAAAGTTAAACTGCATATGTGGAGGCCCGACTGTGATTATTGGAACTAATACCAATTCATCGTTTTAAAACAATATGCAGTACATAAATAAATATTGCATGCACCAATAGACTACTATGCTTTAATGCAGTGGTTCTCAACCTGTGGATCCCCAGGTGTTTTGGCCTACAACTCCCAGAAATTCCAACTAATTTACCAGCTGTTAGGATTTCTGGGAGTTGAAGACCAAAACATCTGGGGACCCACAGGTTGAAAATCGCTGCTTTAATAGAAGATAAATGTAAACTGCATCCTTTTCAAAATATAATGGTCAAACTACTGTCTGATGTGTACTTTAGAAACCGTGTTATCACTCATCTTGACATAGCAGTAATTGCTTTCAGTTTGCCTCCAAGCTGAAGCTGGTAGCTTTGACCAACCAAACCCTAAATGAAATGGTGCCTGAATTATGCTGTGAGCACATGAGACATTAAATGAGACAATGCATTCTTTGTACAGCAGTGCCTCTATCCTACTGAGCCTTCAACAGGCAATAGAGATTATATTGTATCATGTGAACCTTAAAAACAGTTTTAAGTTTGCCTTTAGAGAATGAAGTTGAAAAGAAATACAAATGCTATTGAATCTGTCGTGAAAGAATGCTGTCTTTTGAAAAAAAAAACTGTTTCAAAACAGAATCATCTTGAACACCAACATTTAGAACGCCAGCATTCTTTACAGCATTTTCAAGACACCGAAAATTGCTTAGTTTTTCTTTATTTAGTGGTTAATAGTCAAAAGCAGTGGTTCTCAACCTGTGGGTCCCCAGGTGTTTTGGCCTACAACTCCCAGAACTCCCAGCCAGTTTATCAGCTGTTAGGATTTCTGGGAGTTGAAGGCCAAAACATCTGGGGACCCACAGGTTGAGAACCACTGCCCGAAAGGGAGACAAGAAGTGTGAGGTTCAAGTACCTTACATAAATGTACCAATTCATTTTTCACAACATATTGGCTTTTTAGTTACACCTACCTGACCCGTCTTATAGTGCCTTGCAAATTGGTTTACTACTCGATAGTCATTTGCAAAGTACTCCATCAAGATAGAGGGAACTTCAGCAAAGTCAGTGGAACATCTTGTTCCTGTAGACAATAATGCAGGAGCATGAACATGCAGGTAGTCATAATGTTTATATGAATTCTTCTCTCTTTCTCAAACTTCCTATTAGCTCTCTACGTATTTGCACTTTTGATGAACTCTGATAAATCATTTATTAAGTAAATATTTCACTTCTATACGGTTATTGTACTTATTGACAGAGAAGCTAAATCATAATCCTGCATGTTATACCGAAAATCACAAAGTAAAACACAATATTTAAACAGCTGGGTGAGGTGCCTTATAAAGCTGTGGATCACACCCTTTATAAACGTAAACCAAGCTGCAGCCAATCTGGCCCCACATGAAATACCAAATCTTTAATTGCCTTAACTCTACACCCAGTTACAATAAAAATATCAAACTATGCTTGAGAATTTAATCCCGGTTACAATTATTATCACCCACATCTGTCATATTTGCTTTTCTTTATTGTTTGAGATGTTTTCTTGATATTTCAAGAGATTATGGTAATAAACGTTTTTCACTATTAATAACTTTTTCTCAAGTCTAGTTTCTTCCCCCTTATGACTTTAAACATTTCCAAATAATCCATTTCCTAAGCAGCAAACGTTTACTGTACTGTATACACTCATGCCTAAGTTGACCGCATGTAGAAGTCAAGGACAAGTTTTAGAGCCAAATTTAGGGATTCTGATCTGGATGCTTTAGCAGCTGGTGTGCAATGTAGCAGCTAGGCAGCAGCTGCATGCTATATATATATATATATAGTTATATAATCATTCCACTGAAATAACAAATATCTACTAATTAAGTTTTGGGGTCAATTCAGTGTGTTTGTTTTTACCTTAAAAGTTTCAAAAACTATCTTGGAAGCTGCTTGTCTCATTATAAACCTATCCATTATAAAGCATATTTTAAAAGAACACCTCAACTAACCAGTGCTTGTTATGGTACACAAGAGAAGACTTTTTACTGCATCGTTTCCAAAAAGTGGCTAAAAAAGACTAAATATTCTCTTTGCTTTTTTAAATAAGAATTCAGTTCTTCAAGCTGGTCTTCTAATTTGTGGCTCTAACATTTCATTGATTCCACATATTATTACTTCTATTTAAGCAGTACATTTATGGAAAGGCATATAGTAAAGGTAAAGGGTTTTCCCAGTCGTGTCCGACTCTGGGGTATGGTGCTCATCTCCATTTCTCAGCCGAAGAGCCGGCATTGTCCGTAGACACCTCCAAGGTCATGTGGCTAGCATGACTGCATGGAGTGTTACCTTCCCGCTGGAGCGGTACCTATTGATCTACTCACATTTGCATGTTTTCGAACTGCTAGGTTGGCAGAAGCTGGGGCTGACAGCTGAAGCTCATACCACTCCCCGGAACTGAACCTGCAACCTTTCAGTCAACAAGCTCAGCAGCTCAGCGCTTTAACCAATAATATTAATAAGAATTATATTGTCAGCCCTCTGGATCCAACATGTTCTACATCCATAAATTCAACCAACTACACAACTTGAAAATATTAGAAAAATCCAAAAAGCCATCTTGCTTTTGCAGGACACTGAGCACTATGCTGAGATACTATGTTGTAGCCTCCTGCCCTGTCACTTATCCTCAGTTCTCTCCAGAGTTAAATTGAGAAGTTTCGCATTTTATTACAGAGATGCCGTTTTAAATAAAATTATGAAACAAAAATGAAAAAAGTGTTCTTGGTTTGTAAGTGTTATTTCCTGTATAATTGTTTAGTAGTTGTTACACTCCAGAAACTTCGTTTTTGTGGCTACCACAAACTATGTGGAATTGGTTGAGACTCTATGAAATATTCATTGAAAAACTATAGTAAAACGTGACATAAGATGACCCGCAAGTTTTTGCAGTATAATATTTTTTTCCATGTTCTCATGACAGAGCCAATTAGAAAATGGCATTTATAACCCAGGAACAATTGTGTTACATAGTGCGGTGTAATGGTCCTTGAGCATCTAGAGATTTTGGGATCAATGGGGAGGCTTGAAACAATACCTCAGTGGATGTGAATACTCATTGTATTACTAATATGCTACTAATAGTGAACATAATTGGAAATGATATGAAATTTGTCTTAAAGTGCAGTAAGAAATTAGACTGACTTCTGACATTGCAAGATAACCAGACAAGCTGTTCACCACAGGGTTGTAAAACATCTGGGCATCCACTGGGCAATGTCCTTGCAGATGAACAATTCTCTCACACCAGAAATGACTTCGAGTTTCTCAAGTCGCTTCTGACACAGAAACACCAAACAAACTACAAAATAATTAGAAAGAATGACACACTTATCAGACCTTTAACCTGTACACCAATTGCTTACCAGTCACATGTTGGTATCGAGTCCTTCCCAGCATCGAATGCATAGCATGACCCATTTCATGGAAAAGATTCTCCATCATTCCAGGAGTTAGCAATGTGGGTGAACTGCTTGTGGAATGAGGCAAACTTAGCATAAGAACAACAACAGGAATTTGGTACTCTCCATTTTCTCGTAGTCTGCCTCCACGGATAGTAAAGTGACAATCCTGTTTTGGTAAAGAGAAATTAAGTCAGGGGAAAAATCCAAAGCTTCATCACATTGGTATGAATCTAACACCCTTTTCATTGCCAGAATCTGTTTACAATTACAGAATTATCTGAAATCGAGCTATTATACGGTACCAGACGTTTCCTATATTTGAATGTCTGAAATGAGGCCTTTAGTTTAAGTTGGTGTTTGGCAATCTGTTTGCAAGTTTGTTACTCTATTTATTTTTTAAGACTGCTGTGCCAAAGTGACTTTTGGTGCACTTCAGAGCACAATTCTACATATCAAATTCAAATAGCATTCCAACCTTTGTATTCATTTTAAAAGGGAAAGAGAGGAAAAAATAAAATGCCATGCAATGATATGCCTTATTTAAAAATTTGAAAAATGTCACACACTATCAGCTGCTCCTCTTCCCAATAAGCCCTGGCTTGAGAGATCACTGGGAGACAGATGTAGAGGCTATAGAAGGGAGACATTCCTGAGATTTAATGAATATCAGGATTCAAGACTAAGACTGACCCTATAATGCAGCTCGAACTGCACTGAACTCAGTAATGTGGTCAGTGTAGAACCAGCCTCATTTACACAGAGAAAGGCCCTACTCAACAGATGCTTGTAATTGAGTTAAACAAAGTGCAGGCTTCCCAACAAAACTATTGATTACTTTGTTTTTATATGGATTGTGGCTAACCTAGATATTTTTATCAAGTTCTTTCTAAAACAATCAGGATATATCTTTGTATGGTACAATTTAAGAACTAATTTTGCTGGTATTCTGGATACTTCATATGGCACAGAAAGCACTTTTTGAGTACTTTGTAAGTAGAAGACAGCAAGAGGGATGAGCAGGAACTATTCTGATGTTTAGTAGTTTTCATCACTGTGGTATCTAAACTTCTGATTAGGTAGCCTATAATGGTGCCTGATTTTACACGTTACAATATTTACATGTTATGTATTTTCCCATGGTTTTTAAACCGTAATTTATAGCATTCATATTTTAAATACGAATTTGTGCACACTTTCTTTCTCTGAAATCCAGCATAAAACTCACAATTTGCAAATTCTTAAAGCAAGTTACTTAAGGAGATGTGGAAACATTAATTCTATCAACACTGCAGTAACCAACAACATTATTTTCCATTCTAAATTGTTAATTCCAACCACTGAAATGGGAAGTTGGTGAGTGAACACTTACATAAATCCCACTCCTTCAATTGGTTTGTTCTAGCTGAAACTAACAACTGGTTTATACCTATAACTGAAGGAATGGTTACCTGATGAGGCTTATCTGGCCTTTGAAAGAAGTCGCAGTAGATATACCCCAATAAACCTTCTTGCTCATGGACAACTGCCTGAAAAAAAATGTAAAAATTCTAAGAGAAAGATAAGACACTGATATTAATTTGTTTTTGAAAACACTCCAAATGTGGCACCTTTATACAAACTTTTTGAAAGTGGGAATATGTACCCTCTCTTTCTTGATAATTCAGCTTTCCACTCTAGCAGTTTACAAAGAGACAGAAGTACAATTCTATTGCAGCACAGAAAGGAAACAAAGGAGGGGAAAATGAAATCTAGCAGCCCCTTTACGACTTAGGGGTTTGTTACACGAGGCAGGCAAATTGCAATTACAGCCGACTTATCACAGGACCGGGCTGTGGCACAGTTAGTTAGCTGCATTAAAACACTACTGACCAACAAGTCATGAGTTTGAAGCCAGCCTGTGTTGGAGTGAGCTCCCAGCCACTAATAATCTAGCTTGCTGTTGACCTATGCAGCCCAAAAGACAGTTGCATCTGTCAAGTAGGAAATTTAGGTACTGCTTTATGCAGGGAGGCTAATTTAACTAATTTATGATGCCATAAAACCTTCCAGCAGTTTGAAGAAGAATGAGAAAGTATTGCGTTAAAGGACTCTGTGTTACAAGTAGACTGTGAAGCGGCAGTTCCCCCTGTGGCTGGATTTGAGCACACCCTCATGAAGCCGGAAAGACTGAAATATTAAATTGCCTCTGTTACTGTCTAGCTATGTTGTATGTCTAAATGGCATTGAATGTTTGCCATGTATATGTGCATTGTAATCCACCCTGAGACCCCTGCAGGGGTGAGAAGGGCAGAATATTGTAAATAGATAGATAGATAAATAAATAAATAAATTGTGTTATTTTTTTGTTGTTGCTTGAGGGGGGAATAATTGAAAAACATTTTTATAAAGGAGATTACTATTTCAGTTTGTAAAGGAAATGCTTTCCCATTGGGAGAGTGATGTTCTAAGTCCCACTCAATGAGGTTGTCCTGCTGTAATTGCAACTGGCCTGTCTTATATGATAAAGTCCTTAATTAAGTCAGCAGTTTTGTGTAAGTTTTATTGGGGTTCAATCTATTTCTTCAGCCACACTGCTGGGTGGTAATATTAAAGCACCAATCATGCAGCAGTTAGTATGGTGAAGGCGTGATTAGATTGTAACAGAATATAAGATACAAATTGGGAACCTGATATGAACATTTCTTTACCTTTTGTTTCTTTGTAATAATCTGGAGAAACTCTAAAAATAATCTTTCATTTTCTGCAGAATTCTCCTAAAAGTGCACTCCTATACACTCTTAGGCACTCTGGAGTACAACTAAAGGTTTCCCCTTGACATTAAGTCTAGTTGTGTCCAACTCTGGGGGGTGGTGCTCGTCTCCATTTCTAAGCTGAAGAGCCAGCATTGTCCATAGACGCCTCCAATGTCATGTGCGGAGAAGGGCGGGGTAGAAATGTACGAAATAAATAAATAAATGACTGCATGGAGCACCGTTACATTCATGCAGAAGTGGTACCTACTGATCTCCTCACACTTGCATGTTTTCAAACTGCTAGGTGGCAGAAGCTGGGGCCACCAATGTTTCAGTCAGCAAGTTCAGCAGCTCAGCAGTTTAACTCGCTGCACCACTGGGGGCTCCTGTTCAATAGTAAAGTTAGATTATTTGTAATTTTTGCTGACATTCAGAAATAAAAATTCTTACCAATTTGCGAACATCTTCACACCATAATTCTCCCTTTTCAGTCTGTTCAGCATATAGAGATATTCCTAAGAGTTTACTGAATAAGATGTTCAGGCCTTCCATACACGCTCCAAGAGAGAAGAAGGGGCAATATAGACTAGGTTCAATATTATACCTAAAACATATAAAAGAAAGCGTTCTGTTACAAAAAATACACACAATAATGTCCTTATTTAAATATTTTAGAGTGTGCAGTCCATGTATAAATTCAGCATAATATTATTTTTGTAACAAATAGGACACTTGTTAATATTCAACACCAAGACTGAAATCTGACATTATTTCTAGATGCTACCACTGGGGATAGGGATGAGAACAGAGATCCATACTCCTCTTTTTGCTGAGTACTACTTGTTTTAAAGTATGATTTGAAGCAGGGCTGGTCTATCAGATTCCTAACAATTGCAGTCAGAAGTTACCATAAAAAAAAGACAAGAGAAGAGGAGGCAGCTATTTTGAGTTATTTGTCATGTGTAATTTTTCATGCAAGAGTAATGCATCTACAGGTCTTCAACTAATTTTCCAATCATGGTGAAAACTGTACAACTGAATAAGGCCTCATCTACAATAAAGTTGGTAAGAAATGTTCTGTCCCAACTTCGGTTACAGAGCAGAGACATCTGGCAGCATGTTTTTATGAAAATTAAATAAGCTACAATATTACCCAAACATGATCCAACGTATCTGCTCATGCATAGTGGAATGGGATTAATATCCAATAAATCAATACAGGATTGCAAATTAATAGCACTAATACTCAAAATCTCTGATAAGAGATTCAAAGACAATGATATATTTTGTCTCCAAAGCCTAAGTGAATCCTGTTAATGTCATATACAAAAATAATGCACTGAAAAACTGTGACAGGTATCATAAATCTGGCAACAAAACTATCCTGTCTGTTGGGTTTATCAATTAACTGATTATTGCTTTGCTATTAGAGCCCCATACAACATTTTAAAACTAAAAACTTTTGCTATTATTATTTATATAATTCCCCAGATACTAAAGCAGTGCTATCCCATTCCTATGGAAATATGACTGTTCTAAAAGAGAATGTTAAGTACTTGATCTTGAATTGGGATGAGCCACTAATACCAAGAATATCTTCTTAAGAAAGGCGAGATATAGGAGATTATAAGACAAGTCAACTGTGCCAAGATTACGAATAAATTTAAAAATACAGAATGCCAAGAATCTAAGAACATGGCAGTATTAATCCTAATAGCTGTATTTAATAACATGTTTCTTTTTCAAGTGTCTGCTTCTAGAGCAAATAATATTTTCCCCATTGAACTTTAAATAAAAAGTTGAATAGAATTTTTATTAGGAAGAAATACCACATATACATAAATACCCTTCATGAATCAAACTCAACACTAAATTATTTCATCTGCATTTTCATTTTGTACTTAAAGAATGAATAATGTGAGTATAGTTTAAACAAGAAGTTTAAACGGAAGGAGGGTTGGCCCTCCTTCTTCAGGAACACTATGAAAGCAGAGAAGACCACATTGCTAAAGGACAAAAATGTATTACACCATTGCAAATAACTATTTTACAGTTTACATGGCTTCAATATATATAAATAAAGTGTGTGCATGTGCCTTCAAACTGCCTGTCGAAATAAAGCATAGGCATAAAGAACAGCTTTCATCTGACCTTTATGCTGTGTATCTTGTATGTCATCTTTTTTATTCAGAATGTTTTAAAATGATAGGTTTTATTTACTCGTTACAATTAAAGGAGTATTCAAAACTATAGTTATTCCTTAATCACTATATATAAGAGAAAAGGCACAGTGTCTGTGTATATATACTGCCATGGCTCTATTCTATGTAATAATGACAGCTGTAGCTTTATGAGATCTTCATCAGCTGCCAAATATTGCTAGTAACTCACCAAACTACAATTCCCATGGTTCCACATCACTGACACATGGCAGTTAAAGTGGTGTTGAACTGCATTATTTCTACTGTGGAAATGCACTCAGTTTTGTGCTAACAATAAATGCAAAAAGGATACTAATAAAACTAAAGCTTTGGGGTTAAATATGAAATTTCATTTCTCTAAAAGAAAAAGTTTGACAAAGCTATGCAAAATGTATGGTTGCAGTCAGATGGCAAATTGAAGCAAGAGCTCCTCCTGGTGTTAAAGCATTAGAAACACTATTAGGACAAGATAAAAATGGAAAACACTTGTACTCATGCAACAACGTTCACCTATTTATTTATCTGCCCAGGAATCAATGGATTACTATCAAGTCACTATGGGGGAAGATCCACTGACATACTACTGATGTTTGTTGCTGTTGTTTCCCAAGTGCCTTATGATGATCCTAAGGCAAACATATCACAGGATTTTCTAGGCAAAATTTATTTCTGCTACTCTAAGGCTAAAAGAGTATGACTTGCCCAATATTACCCTCTGGGTTTTCCTGGATGAACAGAGATTTGAACCTTGATCTCCAATTGCCCTAATCCAGTACTCAAGCCACTATCTCACACTGGCTTATTGCTACTGACAACTGATATGAAGCATTTAAAATATCAGCAAAATCAGAGCCAAAGACATTTACTGAGTGTTGTTGTTTTTTAATTTACCATTTTCTCAAGTCATAGACAATAATGCAATATTTTGCAAATAGAAATAATTAAAGGTATTTAGGATCTGTATGTGAAGCAAAGTGCTCATAAGGTAAACATGTTACATTGACGGAATGATTGTAAAAAAAGGGAGTTTAACAGCAATGTAGAGATGCATGTCTTTGTGGCTGTTGTTCTTCTAAATCTACACAAATGATCCCTGAAGTATTCTCCAAGTTTAAGGAATGTTTATATTGGAACAGGCACACCTTTATATGTTCAGCATGGAGAACAGAAACTCATTTTTTTGTGCAGAAATCTACATTTTGGTAAAGAAATGCATGTGGTTCTTTTCAGACGAAACACATGTGGATTTCCTATGCAGAAAATAGAGTAGAACTAGATTCCATACAAAAATTGACCTTTTGTGTGCAAAAAATATATTTCTACACTGGAAAAACTACATGATAATATTAGAATGCCTGTAAAAAAGGAAAAGCACCAGTTCAAAAAGAATGCTAGAATCATACCTCTCAGCACGCAATACGCCACTATAGTATGGATGATCCCAGGGCATCAATTCCTGAAATGAAAGATTCTAGGATTTCAGTGACTGTCAGAAAGGAGTGTTTTCACCTGTCAACCACAGATGAAGAAAGACATTAACAGATTACCTTTTCTCTGTTTTCCATAACCGAGGAGCCTCTAGTAAGCTGAGAAGGTCTGTGATGCATCATAACTGGCTATGCTGGCCAAAAGATCCCTTCTCTATTCCAGATTTTGTGATCACCTACTTTATCCAGACACAGTGACTGATCTCCCAAAGCAGTGGTTCTCAAACTGTGGGTCCCCAGGCATTTTGGCCTAAAAGATCCAAGCCAGTTTACCAGCTGTTAGGATTTTTGGGAGTTGAAGGCAAAAACATCTGGGTACCCAAAAGTTGAGAACCACTTTCCTAAAGGGTAATTGGGAACTTATTTTACGTATGTTTCATCATTGCCAAAGGCCATCCATAAGACCATAAGCACAGTTCAAGAATCTAACTCATTCTGAACTACATAGCCTTCATAGTAGCTTACTGCAAACTTTGATTAGCCAGTTTTTATTGAAGCTTTATGGTCTGTAAAGGTAAAGGTTTTTCCCCTTGAAATTAAGTCTAGTTGTTTCCGACTCTGGGGGGTGGTGCTCATTTTCATTTCTAAGCCAAAGAGCCAGCGTTGTCCGTAGATGCCTCCAATGTCATCTGGCCGGCATGACTGCATGGAGCGCTGTCACCTTCCCACTGGAGCAGTACCTATTGATCTACTCGCATTTGCATGTTTTCGAACTGCTAGGTTGGCAGAAGCTGGGCCTAACAGCGGGAGCTCACCCCGCTCGTTGGATTTGAACCGCTGAGCTTTCGGTCAGCAAGTTCAGTAGCTAAGTGGTTAATGCCTCCCTTCGGGAGGGCAAAATTCCAGCCAGCTTAAAGCAAGCTGTGATAAAACCGCTGTTGAAGAAACCATCACTGGATCCCACTCAATTCGTCAACTATCGGCCTGTTTCCAATCTCCCCTTTTTGGGCAAAGTCATGGAACGTGTGGTGGCCTCACAACTCCAGGCATTCTTGGTAGACACGGATTATCTAGACCCGGCACAGTCTGGCTTTAGGCCGGGGCATGGTACCGAGACAGCCTTGGTCGCCTTAGTGGATGATCTGCGCCGGGAGCTCGACAGGGGGAGTGTGTCCCTGTTGGTGCTGCTGGACCTCTCAGCGGCCTTCGATACCGTCGACCACGGTATCCTTCTGGGACGCCTCGCGGGGATGGGTCTTGGAGGTACTGTTCTGCAGTGGCTCCGCTCATTCCTCGAGGGTCGGTCTCAGAAGGTGTTACTGGGAGACTCCTGTTCAACCCCACAACCTTTGTCTTGTGGGGTTCCTCAGGGTTCAATACTGTCTCCCATGTTGTTTAACATCTACATGAAGCCGCTGGGTGAGATCATCCGGAGTTTCGGAGTGCGATGTCATCTGTACGCAGATGATGTCCAACTCTGTCACTCCTTTCCACCTGCTACTAAGGAGGCTGTCGAGGTCCTGAACCGGTGCTTGGCCGCTGTGACGGTCTGGATGGGCGAACAAATTGAAATTGAATCCAGACAAGACAGAGGTACTCCTGGTTAGTCGTAAGGTCCGAACAGGGTATAGGGTTACAGCCTGTGTTAGACGGGGTCGCACTCCCCTGAAGACGCAGGTTCGCAGTTTGGGTGTGATCCTGGACTCATCGCTGAGCCTGGAACCCCAGGTTTCGGCGGTGACCAGGGGAGCATTCGCACAGTTAAAACTTGTGCGCCAACTGCGACCGTACCTTGGGAAGTCTGACTTGGCCACGGTAGTCCACACTCTGGTTACATCCCGTCTTGACTACTGCAACGCTCTCTACGTGGGGTTGCCTTTGAAGACGGCGGAAGCTTCAGCTAGTCCAGCGCGCGGCAGCCATGTTACTAACAGGAGCGGGACGCAGGGAGCACACAACGCCCTTGTTGTTCCAGCTCCACTGGCTGCCGATCTGCTACCGGGCCCAATTCAAGGTGCTGGTGTTGGCCTTTAAAGCCCTAAACGGTTCTGGCCCAACTTACCTATCCGAACGTATCTCGGCCTATCAGCCCACCAGGACCCTAAGATCTTCTGGGGAGGCTCTGCTCTCCATCCCGCCTGCTTCACAGGTGCGGCTTGCGGGAACGAGAGACAGGGCCTTTTCTGTGGTGGCCCCTCGGCTTTGGAACGCCCTCCCTATAGAGGTAAGATCAGCCCCCTCGCTGATGGTGTTTCGGAAAAGATTGAAGACATGGATGTTCAAACAAGCATTCGGTTAATCCGGTGCAAAGAAATTGATGATTAAGGACTGGTAATCATGGACGATGAAATTGGACTACGATTCTAGTTAAGAGATGCATTGGATTGTATTGGTGGCCCAATACTATGTATTGTATGTTGTTTTTATGCTTTTTAAACTGAATATTGTTGATTGTTTGTAGAGTTGTAAACCGCGTTGAGTCGCCAATTTTGGCTGAGAAACAGCGGTATACAAGCGCAGTAATAAATAAATAAATAAATAAATAAATAACCCGCTGCACCACCAGAGGCTCCTTATATGGTCTGTATAGTTATCTAAATAAAGTGAAAAATATCATGTACCTGCTCTGCATGTTATAAATGTCTACTTTTCGCAACTTTTATTTTATTTTTCATCTACTTATACCTATTTTAAAGCAGTAGAAGAGCAACATACAGAAGCCACATTCACAAATTAATTGATTTCTCCTTCTAGATTTATAAAACAGAAATTTAATACATGTACACTATTCACAACTTATGCAAACACAGACAAATCCAAAAGGGCAGATGAAAGGGGACTTGAAGTCATTTCTCTTGTCATCTCCAATGGTCAGTGAAAAAACTCTCCAGTCTACCACGACCTTTGTATAATATCTGGACAAGTGGGCAGATTTTCCAGCACAATAATTACAGAAATCTTGCCCTTGTTGTTCAACTAATGTGAGTTAATAACAGTCACATACATCTTTGGCTTTTAGGAGCATTATATCGGGAGATCTGGAAGCTGAACTAGAAACTTTGTGATCCAAGCTGCAATCTAGTTCTAGTATGCGATCAAGGGCTAAATATGTTCAGACCCCATGGCTTTTTCAAGCAAAACAGTATACATACAGAGTGATGCTCATACAGGATAAATGTCAGGTCAGGTGTGAAACCAAGATTCTCCGTATGCAAGATGTACAGTAGGCTCTTCAAGCTCTGACACGAAGTCAGACCCATTTCAACTGTAACTGACTGCACTGACTTACAACTACAGATCTAGATCAATGTACTACTACCAAAGGGCCAATAAAGCACTGACAGCTTTAAATTATTATTATGTCTGCTAAGAAATCAGGACAGACATATTATATATCAAGAAACAGACCTATCATAAACAGACATATAAGAACACAGTGACTGGAAAAACTATAGTTTGTGAACAAAAGCATTGCAGTTTGCCAATTATTAAGCTGAACACATGTGATTTCTCAAATATGACCTCAGCCATTTCGAGACTGCATAAACTAATTGAACATAATGTTCAACATGCTCAAGAGAGTACATTATATTTTCCATCCTATGGCTTGGCTACTACACAAATCACTGTGTTTAAACCAATATTGTTCTTTCAGCACTTAATTCCCTTAGAGAACATTGCCTTGAAACGCAACTCTGCTATAACATGAAGCCAAAAGAAAAAGAAAGGATAGATTACATCAAAAAGATCACAAGACAATATAGACATTATTTTCCCAAACTAGTGTACAACTCATTCAAATCACGAGAAAATAATAAATGCATAACTTACAGATTTGATAGGATTTACTTTCATTTTCATGCCTTCCATCATTTCAAAATCCTTTTGAATTCTACAAAGTAATTTAATCATTAACTTTGATAAAATACTTTCCGCAACATATGAATACTTTTAACATATAAGTAATTGTACAATATACTAATATAAACATCACTCAAAGCAAAAAATGAGCCAGATTGTCATTTTTTGTCATTTTTTAAAAAGTCTTTCCCAGTAAGGAAAAACTAAGCAGTGCTAAGAAATCAAGACATTGACCACAGAGTAATACTAGATGACTTAGAGATCTCTAGAGAAACCATATTATTCAAATCTGAAAATAATCAAATCTGCAAAAGTTAACCTCACAAATGTAGAACTGTAGTTGACTGATGTGCATCTTCACAAAACTACATCTCTTTTAATTAAAATGTGCATGCAAAAATCCTTATTTCTCTATTAAGTGTTTGCCTTAAAGCAATATCTGTTATCCAATTTAGTAAGACCAAATTTTAAAAAGCGACTCACCTATTTAATAACTTGTCTGAAAGCTTTACAAGAAACTGCATTACTCTTTCTTTTAAAAAAAAAACAGAATGTAGGAAAGAAGTTAGCTAGGTAAACAGAACACTTGAGAAATAACAAAAAAAAAAACCCTGTAAATTTCATTTAAAATAAATAAATCTACTGAACCAAGTATAATTCAGAAGGCCATAATACAAAACAGACTGAATATAGAAACCATCTGGGTTCTGTTATAAAAGAATCCATAAACAAAATTAAACTTTAAAATGTGCACATTCCTGTTTTCTTCTTGTTCTTTTAGTAAGGAAAATCCTCTGATGAAATGCCATTTCAAACACCACTAAAACTACAATGGGCAATGAAGGAAGAGCTAGGGATTTTTTTCTGACTACTGCAAAATTTCTCCCCCCCCCCCCCCCAAATTCTTAAAACTGACTACAATAGAGTTTGAATGAGACCGTTCAGTCATCTCTGTTACTTTTACTTTTTGAAAAGGTAAAGGTTTCCTTGACATTAAGTCTAGTCGAGTCCGACTCTGGGGGGTGGTGCTCATCTCCATTTCTAAGCTGAAGAGCCAGCATTGTCCATAGACACCTCCTAGGGTTATGTGGCCAGCATGTCTGCATGGAGTGCTGTTACCTTCCTGCCGGAGCGGTACCTATTGATCTACTCATATTTGCATGTTTTTGAACTGCAAGGTTGGGGTTAACAGCCAGAGCTCACCCTACTCCCTGGATTCGAACAACCAACCTTCCAGCAGTTCAGAGATTTACTCCATTGTGCAGCCAGGGGGCCTTATTAGAATTACCAGGGAGCCCTATGGTATCAGAATTACTTTTTCTAATACCACCCATATAATAGAGTTACTAATTATTCAGTCACAATCTTCTTTGGTTTATTGGTGGTCTGAATTCATCATTACTTTTACACGTGAAGCTGATAAATGGTTTCCATACATTATCAAATAGATCTTTTATTCCTCCTTTTGTTTTTTTCCCATGTCAGGAGCGACTTGAGAAACTGCAATTTGCTTCTTGTGTGAGAGAAGTGGCTATCTGCAAGGACGTTGCCCAGGGTATGCATGGATGTTTGAAGTTTTATCATCTTTGTGGGAGGCTTCTCTCATGTCCCCGCATGGGGAGCTGGAGCTGACAGAGGGAGCTCAACCCGCTCTCACCAGATTCAAACCGCTGACCTATCGGTCAGCAGTCCTGCCAGCACAAAGGTTTAACCCATTGCACCACTGGGGGCTCCCCTCCTATTGCTAATCTTATTTTATAGGTTAACCTTTCAGATAAGGCTATAGCCCAAACCTTGTGTAACCAACTCTTTATTGATAAATTTTCTAGTTTTTCCCAGGCTCTGGCTATTTTGAGTTTTCAGCATATAACATGAGGGGAAGAGTTAAAAGGTACAGTATTTCCAATGACCTATGGATAAGTTGAAATAGGTTTTTTTTGGTTGATTTTTGACTAAAATGTCTAGATTTATACATGAATATATAGAGCACTTCAACATGGGACTTATTCCCACAAAGTATGTTCAGTACAAGTATATAATTTTTAAAAATGTTGAATACTGCACAAATTAGTGAAAAATTTCACTAGAGCAAAAATTACTAATCACATGCAAAAATCAGCATAACCAGAATTTAGCCTCAACCCCTTTCATATTTTTCATTGTCTCTTCCTTTTATGTATCGGTAAATTGGTATTACCTGGGGTTTGTGCCATAGTTCCCTGAAGAGCCCGATGAGCAAAAGTATCATATCCAACTAACTGGGCCAAAAGGTTTCTGCTGGTGAGCAGTTCCTCTAAGCAGTTCAGTTGCTGAGCGTTTGGGTAGAGAAAAACCTTGTAGGCAATTTCACGTACCTAATGATAAGTGAAGTGAGAAGTGATAGAACGATGTATGAATAGCAATCATAGGAAAATGATACAACTAAAAATGTTAAAAATTGAGTATCACTTTGCTGTGAAGAAAGAAGTACAATGAAAAGATTTCTTCTGTAATCTTGCAATGTTTCTCTAAATTGCTCCCAAAATCATGAATAGTATCAGATCAGATCTACTGTATCGTATCAATTGGGAAGCGTTAAAATTGAACTTTCACATTTAAGGAATAGCCTCTACCTAAGCATTGTGAAGAGATTTTGGGCAGAAAATGGACACAGAATATTGACACCATCCTATTTAGTACTCAGCGGTCAGCCGATCAACAGAAAGAAGTCACCTAAACAGACGTTGCCTGGGACTTGCCTATTAACTCCAGAACAGGGGATGAAAAATGAGTCCTTTCTACAGGAATGTTGCACTCCAAGCTGGGAAGCACCTCTGTACTTAACCACTACATTCCAGCCCAAGTTAAATCGGTAAAGCACTTCAGCAAAAATAGTAGAAACTTCAAAATCTATACGTGTAAAATTGTCCACAAGGTTCAAGGTACAGGAGTAATCAAGAATCTCAAAGCATCAGAACATCAGGAACAGGGATACAAGGAATGGGGAGCAAAAGGCAGCATAAAATCCAATACAAAAATCCAGGAATAATCCTTAAAACTTAGATGCATGAACAAAGGCATGAAATTAGAATCCCCCTGACCAGGACTTGGCAAGAGCTGTTGCCTCAATTACCAACATTGACCAGACTGGCTGGGAAATGCTCCCAGCCTCTCTAATATAGACATGAAGTAATGCCTCCTCACATGAGTTTCTGATATAGGCTTCTTCTGTAGCAGGTGCTGTGCCCTTTGGAAATTCTGCTGAGCAGCCCAAAATTTATGAAAACTACTGTAAGTTTCCAGTTAACCAGCTCATTATTTTGCAACTCATTATTCTCTGCATCTGGGATTTCAGTCTCTGAACTTTTTTCCCTAGAGACTGACTCTTCTGCACAATCTCAGCAACTCTCTGGAATATGACCTTCCCTAACTGCTGGAGACACAGACTGAGCATTTTCAGGACTTAAAATCTCATGTGGACTTGCAGGCCAAGAGTTCCCATGATTCGCATCCACATTAACATTAGTATCAGCCACAATCATGGGATGAACTGGCTGACAACAAGAACCAAGGATGCATCTTTGTTTCTGTGGCCAAAGCTACATGTGATAACAATGGCACAATTCCCGTGGTATGAGAGGAGAAAAAGGTGTGCAATTTGAGGGGGAAAATGCATGGGAAAAACAGAACATTCCTCCTACACACCACTTATATCCTTACAGCTTGAATGCCCAAAGGTAAACAACTGCTAGGAAGTGGTTAAGCCTTATACCATATTTCATCACATAATAGTAACACTCTCATTTTGAGGTGCCAAAATTGTATTTTTGTTTTCCTCACAAAATAGTCAGACCCCCATTTGGGGCTGATTTTACCTTTCTTCATTCTTTCTCCAAAAGCAACGTAGTTTAAGAGATTTGAAATGGAGGTCTCTGAAGCTCCAACTCTTCTCTGCTATCTCCTGCTCTGGGGCAACACAGTTTTAAAAACCTGGAACTGATTTCTTAGGAGGAAGGAGGGAAGGTCTGAGTTCTAGAGACTTCAATTTCAGGTTTTTTAAACTGCTTTGTCTCAGAGGAGTGAAAAAGGAGGGAAGAGTTTGGCTTCAGATACCTCAATTTTATAGTTTTTGAACTGCCTTGCATCTGGAGGAAGAGGGAGGAGAAGGGGAAGGGAAGATCAACCCCAAATGGCTCTGCAGTTAAAAAAATGGAGCTGGTTTGTTTGAGGCTGGATCATCCCTCCTCCTCCCCTTTCAGAGGTAAGGCATTATAGCTCAGAATATTACAGCTTCGTGCAATGTGATATATTTATCATATACATACCAGATCATCTGGGCTATCTGCATTGAGACCACTAATTTGAGCATAATTGCCTTCAACTGCAAAGTTATGGCGAATATGTTCTGGCAAAATGTGCTTGTCGATCTTGTTTGGGAGATGAGATCCAATGAGAAATTCATTACATAAATCCAATATTTTGACGTTCAGATTTACTGCTTTCCTACGCTATAAAAAGGAAAGACAAAAAACAGGCATAGCTTCATTAACACATTTCTTTTTTAAATGATGACGTAAAACAAGGAGGGAAAATCATACAGCCCTTTCTGATTTTCTTAGGCTGACACTCACAGCATCCTTAGCCACCACAACCAATGATGAATAATGTTTGGAGTTGAAGTTCAACAACCACTGGAAGTGTTGTCAAAGGCTTTCATGGCCGGAATCACTAGGTTGCTGTGGGTTTTCCGGGCTGTTTGGCCATGTTCTAGAAGTATTCTTCCCTGACGTTTTGCCTGCATCTATGGCAAGCATCCTCAGAGGTTGTGAGGTCTGAGGATGCCTGCCACAGATGCAGACGAAACGTCAGGAAATAATGCTTCTGGAACATGGCCATACAGCTCGGAAAACCCACAGCAACCAAACATATGGAAAGCTGTATGATTCCTAACCATTTGCTAGAATGTCAATTACAATAATTAATCAGAAGATACTACATGGATCAAAATGGGGAAGGGTAAAGTGTGGACCATGAACTTCACTTCTGTGACATCCCAAGTCACCAGCGGTCTCCCAACCCCATTTTTTTAAAAAAAATCTTGGCCAATTTACATATGATTTTCACCAGAATGCCCCAAAGGCAAAATCAATAGTTTTCCTTTCCTAACTTCAAGAACACTCCCCACCAGAACACTCCCCACCAAAACAGAAAAAAAATGAAATACCACTGATAGTGGGATGCACACAAAATGCTGGTACATCACGTCACAGATGTGGAGATGAAAACTAGCTCCCATCATCCATACAGTGGAATTAAAGGGTTAAATTGCTAGATATATTCCAGGTGCCTCTGTTAATATTTTCCCTCTTCGAGTAGAAATAATTACCTTTTTTTCATCCAAGTGAATCCCACTGATCTCAAAATCAAACATGAAAAGTTCAGCCACACGCCTAAAGGAATAAATTCTCATTTAGAGAAAATAATTGCAAGAGAAATATTATCACTGTTTATCCTTTCTAAACATAATCAGATTCTCATGCTACAGAGAAAATAGTATGTCAATTTAAGAGATTATCAAGGCAGTCCTATGCGTATCTCCCCAAAAGTGAGTCATATTGAGTTCAATGGTCTTATCTTTATTTAACTCAACTCAGGAATGCATGTTATTTGTCCTTTTCATAAAGGATCAGGCATTAATATTATATTTGCAGCTGGCAGTCCTGGACTCATAGTTTGCTATGATGGGTGAATATAGACATTTTGAATGAAGATTATTTCTAAAACTATGCCATTTTCTCTCCAATTCTATGCACTGTGATTAGAAATAAATTATACTTCCTCCCAAGTTATGAGGCATAGGAAGAAACCCTAACCATGAAATAAATTATATATAATTTACTGTTGCAAAGTAATCTTTCATGTAATGAAATATATTCCTTACAAAAATATATTTTACATCTCACAATTAAGTTATGGACATAATTACCTCAGGATATTGTTATAGTATAACTACTTCTTAAATGAGTTAAGTAAATGGAAACTTTGTCTCTTAATAGCTGCAGGCAATGACAATGTTCAGAGAGAAAGTACATTTTTGTAATGTTTCCTATCTTCTCATCATACAGAGATATTATCTTGTTTTGCTTACAAACTTTGTACTAAACCATAAATCTTGGTCAGCTACTGCAACTAGCAACAAGGCAGGAAGCATGTGCATATATCATAAAAAGAGATCAAATATCAAGACTTCAAAACATGCCCTTAAACAGAGAGAAAGTCAAAATTCAGAGGACCAGGATAATTAAAGTGTTATGAATGTCAAGCCTGCCAAACAGGATGGAGGCACAGAAATGTGTAAATATCCCCTTAATTTCAGAAAATTGAGTATGTTTTAAGATTTAGCTGCATAATGTAACTAGAACCATGGGAAATCTATCAATATGGAAATCTGAATATACTGGAGTTCTATTAACAAGGCAAGTCACAACACTTGCAAATATATTAGATTATTTTAATGCATCTATAAAATATTCTTCCTAAGATTTCACAAAAATAAAATATTATGTACTCTGAAAATGATTACTCCGTTTCTGAATAATCTTTTACTGTTATAAAGTATGCAAGGGCCCTTCCATATAACCCAGAATATCAAGGTAGAAAATCCTACAATATCTGCTTTGAACTGGGTTATTTGAGTCCACACTGCCATATATTCCCGTTCAAAGCAGAAAATCTTATTCAGTTGTGTGGAAGGGGCCCAAATCTATCAGTCAACATTGAGTGTTACAATGAAGTCTCAACTGCAAGGAAAAGAATGTTTATTCACCATTTATTTATTTATTTATTTATTTACTTTGCTTATATACCGCTGTATCTCAAGCCCGAAGGCGACTCACAGCGGTTTACAAACAGTAGAAACAGTAGAAACAGCAGTGGTTCCATACAACATATAACAATTGACTTAACACATTATCCATAAATTACCAATAAGCAATTACAATGCACAATTATTACAAAAAACAACCGTACCCAATCTTCTCATCATCCAAGCGTAGTCCAGGTTCGTCGTCCATTGTTCCATTCCTATGTTCCATTACCAGATTGCACTAAATTACTCAAACGCCTGCACAAACATCCAGGTCTTGACCTTTTTGCGGAATACCATTAGAGATGGTGCTAGTCTAATGTCCGTAGGAAGGGCGTTCCACAGCCGAGGAGCCACCACCGAGAAGGCCCTATCTCTCGTCCCCGCCAGCCGAGCTTGAGAAGCAGGCGGGATCGCGAGCAGGGTCTCCCCGGAAGATCTCAAAGTCCTGGTGGGTTCATAGGCAGAGATGCGGTCAGATAGGTAGCTTGGGCCGGAACCGTTTAGGGCTTTAAAGGCCAACGCCAGCACTTTGAATTCAGCCCGGTAGCAGATCGGTAGCCAGTGGAGTTGGCGCAACAGGGGGGTTGTATGCTCCCTGCGCTCCGCTCCTGTTAAAATCATGGCTGACGAGCGTTGGACTAGTTGGAGCTTCCGAGCTGTCTTCAAAGGCAACCCCACGTAGAGAGCATTGCAATAGTCTAAACGGGATGTAACCAAAGCGTGGACCACCGTGGCCAAGTCAGACTTCCCAAGGTATGGGTGCAGCTGGCGCACAAGTTTTAATTGTGCGAAAGCTCCCCTGGTCACCGCCGAAACCTGGGGTTCCAGGCTCAGCGATGAGTCCAGGGTCACACCCAAGCTGCGAACCTGCATCTTCAGGGGGAGTGCGGCCCCATCCAACACAGGCTGTAACCCTATGCCCTGTTCGGCCTTGCAACTGACCAGGAGTACCTCTGTCTTGTCTGGATTCAATTTCAATTTGTTCGCCCTCATCCAGACCGTCACAGCGGCCAAGCACCGGTTCAGGACCTGGACAGCCTCCTTAGTAGCAGGTTGTTGTGCTTCAAATGATGGAATGAGTCTCCCAGAACTCCCCAGCCAATGATGAAGAATGCTGAATGTTTCCATATGATGACTTCTGAATAACATTTCCAAGCCCTTTCCTCATAGCTGCTGTATGCCTTCAAGTTGGTTCCAAAATGAAGGGGATTCTATTGTGAGGTTTTCTTGGTGACATTTCCTGAGAGAGGGACAGTTTTCCCTTTGCCTTCCTATGAGGCTGAGAGAATGTGACTTCTCTAACGTCACTCAGTGAGTTTGCATGGTTGAACAAGGACTCAAACCTTGGCTCCACAGCCATAGTCCCATGCTCAGACCATGCCAGTGCTTCCCTCTGTCTCATCAGAACAAACTTAATCATGTGTACCTTGTTTCTGGATCAAGGGAATCCATAACATCTTTATCAGCCAACAATTTTCTCAGACTTTGGCACAAATCTACATCTGTATTTAATCTAGAAATATAAAAAGGACCAATTAGTATCAATGCAATAATTAACTTTTAAATTTACTTTACTATATTTTTGATATATCATAAATTGATTCAACTTGTTTTTAGTCATCACAGAATGCAAATACAACCATAGCTGGCTGGTTCACCACAATTCTTAAGCATTGTTCATTACTACTATACATTTCAACAGAAAATAATGTCCTAGGATGCTTCGATGTTAGACATTTAGAACAAAACTACCTGCTTCTCTTAATAATAACAATAATAATAATAATAATAATAATAATAATAATAATAATAATAAATCTTCATTTGTATTTCACTTTTCTCCCAAAGTAGGACCCAAAGCGGCTTACAGCATTATAGAAAATACCATACAAAACAATCTGCATATGTAAAACAACATCCTATAAAAACAAATTTACAATAAGAAATAAATAAACATATTTAAAACGCTTGTCTAATACAATTATTGCAGGCAACTCAACAAGGCAGATTGTAAACATTAGCAGGACTCATAAAGGTTAGCCTTCCTGTCATTACAGCTAAGTGTCTTCATCAAAAGGTAGTGCAAACAGGAATGTCTTTAGCTACTTTTTAAAATATGTTAGGGAAGGGGCTGTTTTAACCTCCTTGGGGAGGGAGCTCCAAAGAGTTAGGGCTTTAAAGGTCAAAACCAGCACCTTGAATCAGGTCTGGAAAGTAACTGGCAGCCAGTCCAGGTGCTTTAGCAGGGGGGTAGTATGCTCCCTGGGTCCAGCACCTGTTAATAACCTTGCTGTAGATCTCTGAACTAACTGAAGTTTCCAGACACTCTTAACGAGCAGCCCCACATAGAGCTTGTTACAGTAGTCCAAATGGGATCTAAACAAGGCATGGAAAAGCCAAGTCCGGCTTTTCAAGGTACAGTCGAGCTGGCACACAAGTTTTAATTGTGCAATGGTCCTCCTGGCCACCGCCAACACCTGAGCGTTAGCAATGAGTCCATGAGGACCCCCAGATTGCGGATCCATGTCTTCAAGGGGAGGTGTGACTCCATCCAGCACAGGTTGCCACCCTATACCCTGATCTGCCTTCCGACTGACCAGGAGGATCTCCCTCAATTTCAATTTGTTTGTCCTCATCCAGTCCACAACAGTTGACAGGCACCGGTTCAGGGTCTGGGATGCTTCCATACCTTTTGGAGGAAATGTGTACTAGAGTTGGGCATTATCTACATACGGATGGCACCGAAGCCCAAAACTCATGATGATCTCTCCCAGCGGCTTAATGTAGATGTTAAACAATATGGGAGACAGAACTGAAACCTGTGGGACCCCACAAGACAACTGACTTTTTAGAGTCATACCTGCAGTTAAACCTCCTTTCATTATCCCCCTTTAATTCTCTAGGTGGTTCTTCCATCATTTCTCAGATGTCAAAAAGCCCAACTTTTGCAAGTATGGACAGGTAGAATATTCTTGGAAAGGTGCAGATAGCAATATATCCTTTTGTTTCTACAAGTATACATCATTATAATTTACTTATTTACATTTATACCCTGCCCTCTCTCACCCCGATGAGGATTCTGAGCAGCCCACAAGTTATATGTACATACATTGTATTATATTATTACCATAGCACAATATTAGCATTACATATTACTATATTGTACTATGCCACTATGCTGTAATATTATTAGTAATATTATAAGTAATATATAATTGATATTATTATATTGTATTATTAACATTGTATTACATTATAACATTATTATCAATATTATATGTATATACAATATATATATTATCATAGCACAATATTAGTATTATATAGTATTATATAGTATTATATTGTTGCGGGGGGGGGGGTCAACTGTGATGGCACAGGAGACAAGGTGGAACTCTCTGCCTGGCTTCCCCTCTTCACTCTGGCCCCAGAGTGGTGGTTGGCCTTCTGGGGAAGGGCCCCCAACTGACGGCACAGGAGACAAGGTGGAACTGTCTTCCTGGCTTCCCCTCTTCCCTCTGGCCCCAGGGCAGGAGTTGGTACTGGGGGGAGGGCCCCTCAACTGATGGCACAGGAGACAAGGTGGAACTGTCTTCCTGACTTCCCCTCTTCATTCTGGCCCCAGAGCGGCTATTAAGCATCAATACAATAGCATTACCTTTGCAGTCAACTTATCACCCTTGTTTATCTACTTTTTTGAGTTTTTTATTTAGTAATAAAGAAAAAAAAGTTTTGTAAAAACGAGGTATGCATCCAATAACAATTAAATGCATAAAATTTGAATGGTAACTTGGAAAAAATCATACCTTCATCTATTTATTTTCATGAAAAGCAAGAAGGTCTGTAACCCTAAAAATTGATACTGAGATACAAAGTTCAACTCACCCCTGCTATGAATATGTTGCCTTGAATATTCTTCAAAGGGGATGGGCGCTTCCTCCCTATCACCTTTTTCAGAGTTGCAGCCTTTTTCCTTGGCTCTGTCAACTTTTTAAGAATGCAGCCTTTCAATGAAACTCAATGGAAATGGGAGACATCCATTGGTACAGAGAAAAAAAGAATACTTCTGAAAATGTCTGATGAAAAGACAACTTTCCACCAAGATTTCCAAATGGGCCTTATTCAACAATACACTGCTGTTCTCCAACAGTCATTTGCAGGGATTGAGCATTCCCAACATGAATTCTAGCAAAGCACAGAAGGAGTGATAGCAATTATTGTTGTTATTAAATAATTCCTTATTTAATAACAGGACTCTAAGGACTCAAAACTTTTTTAAAAACCCCTTCATGGTCCGTCAGTATGTCAACTTAAAAGAGTAGCCATTTTTGAAGGTCCCAAGGGCAAGAAAATCACTACTGAAGCGAAGTGTACCTTCCCCTTCAGCAGCCATTGGGCTACGTGAGTCGAACATGGTGAAATAAACCGAAAAGGCAAAACTTTCAGGCAGTGAAGAGTGCTATGAACCAACACAGAATCATCGAGTTGAAAGAGACCTCATGGGCCATCTAGTCCAACCCCCTGCCAAGAAGCAGGAAAATCACATTCAAAGCACCCCCGACAGATGGCCATCCAGCCTCTGATTAAAAGCCTCCAAAGAAGGAGCCTCCACCACCCTCCAGCCCAGTCTGGAAGCAACTTGTAAAGTAGACATGTACCTGCTATATGCAGAAATATTTTTTCTACCCAACATCTTAATTTATAAAAGAGATTTCCTCCCAACCCCACACACGTCATACATGAGAACAACAACAGTTATTCAAGGGAAAAGCTCAACACAACAAATAAAACATACTTTTCTACCATAGTACCAATACTTCTGCAGGCTTCCTCAGCAGCCTCTCTGAAAGCAGGATCCGGGTGAGCAATTTTTACAAAATCTGCCTGATGCAATAAAAAGGGGAGAAAGAAAAATAAAGAGGAAGGTTTTGGTGGAATTTTTAGAAAAGTTGGAAATTCTAGCTAAATCCTCATGGTATCCTCGTCTGCATAAAAGCATACTGGGTCAAATCCAGTGAAGGGGTTCTTTAACAGAACAGAACAACTTCACTTCTCCTTACACACCCTTATCTCTTGCAACTTCTGTAAAATTGGTAAAGGTTCCCCCTGACATTAAGTCTACTCATGTCCGACTCTGGGGGGTGGTGCTCATCTCCATTTCTAAGCCAAAGAACCGGAGTTATCCATAGAACACCTCCAAGGTCATGTGGCCAGCATGAGTTCATGGAGCACCGTTACCTTCCTGCAGAAGTGGTACCTATTGATCTGCTCACATTTGCATATTTTCAAACTGCTAGGTTGGCAGCAGCTGGGGCTAACAGCGGGAGCTCACCAAGCTCCCCGGATTTGAACCACCAACCTTTTGGTCAGCAAGTTCAGCAGCTCAGCTGTGTAACCCGCTGCGCCAGGGATTATGTTACGTTTTGTTCAGAGTAAGGTCTACAGATAGAGAAATAATTCTTTTTGTATGAATAGATAGTTGCAGGAGGCCAAATTTCATGTTTTGTTTTCACAGAACTAGAGTCTGTTAATGGCATATTCACCCCACAGCTTTAGAAACATACTAACATACACTGTAAAAGAAATCTCCATATACATGAGAGCAGGAAGTAGTTTACATATAAATATGCCTCAAGCTTAGCTATGTGTCTGTTTCACTGAACATGTATGCATAGGAAAGCAACACCTTGGAGGAAGTCCCCAAAGTGCATGCACTAAAACAACTAATAAACATCAGTCAGTATATTTAGAAAATATTAAGAATTTTAACATGAAATAAATTCTAAGGAAATTGGTTTTTTTATATTAAACTTTGGTAAGCAGACTTCTGAAAGGAACTCAATTCTGCAAAAAAGTGAAAACATTTCAACCACAAAAATGTCTTATCTATTTCCCCAAAGTAGTACCCTGAAACTAGGGAATATCACACTGATTTTAATGTGTAAGTAAATAAATCAGAACTTAAAAAGCAATGTATTCTTTAGCCCATTACATTTGGCACTGCAACAATGTATGAAATTATATAGCAGTTACAAAGAGTAACAGGTTTATCTGTTTCAGCAGAAAACCTTATTTGAGGTTCCGGTGTAATAACTTATATTGCCATATCTGAAGTTGGTTTTGATAAAACTGGAAAATTCACATCCACTAATAAGTTTCAACATTTAATTTCAAAGTAAAGAAGGTGTCTTACTAGATCTGCGACTCTACACAAGGCATCTGAGAGCTGATCAAAGATCATTACTATTTCTTTCCCAGGAGGTGTAATACATGCTTTCTGGACTAGACGTTCTGTTTCTTGTAATGATTTTTCCTGAGCTTCTTGAAACCCTTCTGGACAAGTCAGCTCTGCTACACCAAACAAACCCTAAACAGAGAAAACAGAAGCAGCATAATGAACACACAGAAATCACTCAGTCTTCCATGTTTCTGAATTTGACTTTTGCAGATTTGATTATTTATGGATTTGATTAAAGTGGGTCTTTCAATGTGGCTGACCACAGAATCATGCTGGAGAACCTACAGATTCCTACAGACGTTTCTCTGGCTCTTCCAGGGCAATTCTGTGATCAGATTCTACCAGAAGGTAACTACAGAATTATACTGGAGGATCTAGGTAACAAAAAAGATTGTTTTAATTCAAGCTTTTATGCAGGTCATGGGCCACCAAACTCAGCAAATGTAGAGGCTGACTAGGATAAGACAGGACAGACTTAAAAGGAGTGTTGTTGGAACAGCCCAAAGCCATCTCTGCTCATCTCATTTTACCATAATTGCCAGAAATATCCTTATACCAGCCTACACCGGGATTGTGGCGCAGCTGGCTGAGTGTCAGCTGCATTAAGATCACTCTGACCAAAAGGTCATGAGTTCGAAGCCAGCCCGGGCTGGAGTGGGTGTCCAGCCATTGTGTAGCCCGTTGTCGACCTTTGCAACCCGAAAGACAGTTGCATCTGTCAAGAAGGAAAATAAGGGACCACCTTGTGTGGGAGGCTAAATTTAACTAATTTATGAGGCCATAAAGAAAGAAGACTCCGGGGAATGTGGAATGCGGAAGAACTTCATCGGTGTCGTTGATGGACGATGAAAAGCAGCAGCTCCCCTGGCGGCCAGAAAAAAAGTTAAATAGCCTTTGTCTGTTAAATGTTGTTTGTCAAACTGGCATTGAATGTTTGCCATATATGTGTTTACTGTAATCCGCCCTGAGTCCCCTGCGGGGTGAGAAGGGCGGAATATAAGAACTGTAAATAAATAAATAAATAAATAATACATGTGGCCATTAGTGAAATCACATTGTCCCACTGGTTTCCCCATTACTAATACACAGAAGAATACTACTTCTGACTGTTCTTGCTGTTATGCACTGTCAGGTCAAGTTTGATTCATGGCAACCTTCAACAGACTCTATCGTTAAACATTATAAATGAAAATATGACAGCAGAAGTTGCTACGGATAATAGCCTGAACTGTCCTCTACTCAAAACTACCGTTCAATAAACTACCCTGATTTTTTCCAAAATGGGTTTGATGCTTGGGATAATGGTGCAAATGTGTACAAATTGATGGTGACTATGTTGAATGGCAGTTTTGAATAGATGATCTGTAGCAACTTCTGCTGCTATATGTTCATTCATAATGTTTTTATGATAGAGGCAAAACTTTTTGACCCACTCTTGTAAATGTAAAAATATATACACACACCTGTGTGTGTCTATGTATGTGAATATATATGTGTGTGAGAGAGTTCATTAATTTTTCCATTAATATGGAAACTTTTGGGCCACCCTGTGTTAGCAAGCTACATTTATTTTAGAGTGTAGATGCACCCTAGAACAGTAACTCTTCCCTAATAGCAGGCAGGGGCAAACTTGGGTCCTCCAGGTGTTTTGGACTTCAACTTCCATAATTCCTAACAGCTGGGTTGTCAAAGGCTTTCATGGCTGGAATCACTGGGTTGATGCAAGTTTTCCGGGCTGTATGGTCATGTCCCAGAAGCATTCTCTCCTGACATTTTGCCCACATCTATGGCTGGCATCCTCAGAGGTTGAGGGGTCTGTTGGAACTAGGCAAGTGGTGTTTATATGTCTGTGGAATATCCAGGGTGGGGGAAAGAACTGTCTGTTGCAGATATGTGTGAGTGTTGCAATTTGCCACCTTGATTGGCAGGCCCATAGCCAGGTTTTTAATTGGGGGGGGGGCTGAGTTTGATTTGGGGGGGAGGGTGGGCTGAGGATCTACCCTAACAAACTTTTTGTATCGTTAACCCAATACTCCCATGCATATGGGATATATTGAGCATGGTGATCAGATCATGATATGAATAGACGTAACAGTTTAAATCAGGGGTCCTCAAACTTTTTAAACAGAGGACCAGGTCAGAGTTCCTCAAACTGTTGGAGGGCCGGATTATAATTTGAAAAATAACATGAATGAATTCCTATGCACACTGCACATATCTTATTTGTAGTGCAAAAACACTTAAAAACAATACAATAATTAAAATGAAGAACAATTTTAACAAATATAAACTTATTAGTATTTCAATGGGAAGTGCGGCCTGCTTTTGGCTGATGAGATAGGATTGTTGTTGTTGTTGTTGTTGTGTGCTTTCAAATAGTTTCAGACTTAGGTTGACCCTGAGCGAGGGCCAGGTAAATGACCTTGGAGGGCTGTATCTGGCCCTCGGGCCTTAGTTTGAGGACACCTGGTTTAAATAATGTACCAGTAAGGCCTTCTCGCTATGGAGCCCCCGGTGGTGCAGTGGGTTAAAGCACTGAGCTGCTGAGCTTGTTGATCGAAAGGTCGCAGGTTTGATTCCGGGGAGCGGCGTGAGCTTCCGCTGTCAGCCCTAGCTTCTGCCAACCTAGCAGTTCGAAAACATGCAAATGTGAGTAGATCAATAGGTACCGCTCCGGCGGGAAGGTAACGGCGCTCCATGCAGTTATGCCGGCCACATGACCTTGGAGGTGTCTACGGACAACGCTGGCTCTTCGGCTTAGAAATGGAGATGAGCACCACACCCCAGAGTCAGACATGACTCGACTTAATGTCAGGGGACTACCTACCTAAGACCTTCTCGCATATCATCCTGAGAATTTCAACATGCCTGTTGATTGGCATGCAGTAGTCTGCCGTTTCAAGGCCTGGCTGATTGCTGCCGGGGGGAATACTGTGTTGGGAGGTGATAGCTGGCCCAGATTGAGTCTTGTCTGGGATTTCCCTGCTTTTTGAGCCCTACCGGCTGTTAGGAATTGTGGGCGTTGAAGTCACTTTGTGCCACTTTGTTAGCCGTCCTGAGTCCCTCTGCAGAGGCTGAGAAAGGACGGGATATAAAAGTCCTAAATAAATAAATAGAAAGTCCAAAATACTTGGAGGACCCAAGTTTGCCCATGCCTGGCGTAGATGCACCCTAGCAGTGTAACTCTTCGCCTAGCCTTCCAGCTTCTTTGGACTTCAATTCCCAGAATTCCTGACAGTTGCCCAAGACAGCTGAGGCTTCTGGGAGTTGGAGTCCCAAGCACTTAAGGGACCCCTGCAGTAGAATGAATACACTTTAGGGGGGGAACCCGGCTCAGGTGGAACGCTTGTCACCCAAGGCCCCGGGTTTTGAGTCTTCCAGAGGAGGGAACGTGGGGAAGGAGGCTGGAGTGGCGAGGGGGCCGGGTCCTCCTCACCGTCTTCCTCCTCCCGGCCTCCTGCTGCTGTTGCCGGGCGTTGAAGGCGGCGCCCACCGGGGACCAGCTGGTGCTGACCCTTCTGCGGGCCTCCGGGGCGGCGATGGCTCGCCTCAGGCCCCCGGCCGCACTCCGCGCCACGCGGCGCCACCCGGCCAGCATGGTCTCGCGGAGACTGAGGAGCCCTGAGGGAAACAGAGCTCGCCGCCGCTACTCCTACTTCCGGTTCCGGCGAGGAGCTCTGACGAATCAGATACACGCGGAGGAAGTGGGGGCGTGGCCTCTTTTCCCCGCCCCCTTGGACTGCTTTCCTTCTCTTCTCAGGGTGTCAGCGCCCTCTTGTGTCGGGATAAGAAATCAGGATTTTCTGCAAAGGGCCGCGTGGGCTTTGATCTCTGACTTTGAGAGGGGACTAAGGGGGGGGGGGGGTTACTCATGAATTTTAACTGATTAACCAAATCCCCATGCTAAGTCTATGAGATACTGCAAGCACTATCTCAAGCAAATATTAGCAATTTATTCACACTGTCATTACTTGCAGCAATAGCCGATGTAGTTGTTCTGGTACAGCTGTACCAGGAGCTCCAACTTTATTTGCTTTGTATTAAATGTTTGCTTGCAGTCTTAAGTTTCAGGGACTCTGCAGATAGGTGGCTTCTTTGGTTGCAGTCATAGGGCAAGTCACCTGTCCATCACTGTTAAGTTTTGGTTCCACCCCTTGCTCAGGGTAATTGCTCAGGGCATTTTTAGTTAGTCTCAGCAAGGTAAGCTTATGTATAGGATGTGTGCAAGCTTCCCCTGTACAAAAGCTTCAACCCTTAAGACCTTCCGGGGGAGAAAGGTCTTAAGAGTCTCCAAAGAATTTCCAGGAAAACAGCCCTAAAGACCAAAGAACTCCAGCTAGAGAACATCTACTGCCTTGCTGGTAGGTCCACTCGGCGTTCAAGACGCAGTTCGACCCGGTAGCGGAGCCCACATCAGTAAGGGTTAGATTACAGTCAGCCTGGGAGAAGTTAAAACAGGGATTTTCCTTTAAAGAAGAAGTTATTGAAGACAGTTGCCTGTCCTTCATGGGCAAGATTAGGAATTCACCAGTTGCCTAAAAGCTTGGAATCATTTGCTTAACTTTACTGAAGACAAGAGAAGTTTCTGTTTGATTGTTCATTAATAAAAGACTTTGTTATACTTCTCAAGCCATCTAAAGACTGTTTGTGGTGGAAACCTCTGAGAACTTCTCTTTAGGCCCCCTGGCTTCCCGCTGGGCAAAGGTTGCACATCCTGTTCTAAAGACAATTATTTACAGGCCCAGTGCGCGACAGAACAGTAGTGAAGCAACCAAGTTGGGGGGGGGGGGATGTTGAATGCTCTCATTAAGGAGGCCAGACTTGGTGGAGGTGGTTGACAAGGACGGAGCTGCAGGCTATTGAAGGCTGCTCTGCCCCCTGCTGTGCTCTTTGCTTCAGCGTGAGCTAGGAGGCAGGTTTCAACCCCCCCCCCGCAAAATTTTCAAAACCACCCCCGAAAAATTTAAACCCCTCCCAAAAATTTTTTCTGGCTACGGCCCTGTCTGTGAGTGTGTACAGAGAGTTGTGGGCCCTCTCATTCTTGGCTAGATGTGTCTATGTGCAGTAGGTTCTTGTAGGTTTTTTTCGGGCTATAGGGCCATGTTCTAGAGGCATTTCTCCTGACGTTTTCGCCTGCATCTATGGCAAGCATCCTCAGAGGTAGTGAGGTCTGTTGGAATTAGGACAATGGGTTTATATATCTGTGGAATGGCTGGGGTGGGGCAAAGAGCTCTTCTCTGCTGGAGTTAGGTGTGAATGTTTCAACTGACCACCTTCATTAGCATTTGAAGGCCTGGCTGAGCCTGGGAAAATCTTTTGTTGAGAGGTGTTAATATGTGCCTGGTTGTTTCCTCTCTGCTGTTTTGCTGTTGTAATTTTAGAGTTTTTTAATACTGGTAGCCAGATTTTGTTCATTTTCATGGTCTCCTCCTTTCTGTTGAAATTGTCCACATGCTTGTGGATTTCAATGGCTTTCTGTGTAGTCTGACATGGTGGTTGTTGGTGTGGTCCAGCATTTCTGTGTTCTCAAATAATATGCTGTGTCCAGGTGGTTCATCAGGTGCTCTGCTATGGCTGACTTCTCTGGTTGAAGTAGTCTGCAGTGCCTTTCATGTTCCTTGATTTGTGTTTGGGCAATGCTGCGTTTGGTGGTCCCTGTGTAGACTTGTCCACAGCTGCATGGTACACGGTAGACTCCTGCAGAAGTGAGAGGATCCCTCTTGTCCTTTGCATTTGTTGGACGTAGCATTTGTTGGATTTTCTTGGTGGGTTTGTAGATTGTTTGTATGTTGTATTATTTGAGAACACAGAAATATATAAAGGAAGAGACCATGAAAATGAACAAAATCTGGCTACCAGTATTAAAAAACTCTAAAATTACAACACTGCACTGCAGACTACTTCAATCAGAGAAGTCAGCTATAGCAGAGCACCTGATGAACCAGCCTGGACACAGCATATTATTTGAGAACACAGAAATGCTGGACCACTCCAACAACCACCATGTCAGACTACACAGAGAAGCCATTGAAATCCACAAGCATGTGGACAATTTCAACAGAAAGGAGGAGACCATGAAAATGAACAAAATCTGGCTACCAGTATTAAAAAACTCTAAAATTACTACAGCAAAACAGCAGAGAGGAAACAACCAGGCACATCTTAACACCTCTCAACAGAACATTTTCCCAGGCTCAGCCAGGCCTTCAAATGCTAATGAAGGTGGTCAGCTGAAACATTCACACCTAGCTGCAGCAGAGAGCTCTTTTCCCCATCCCAGTCATTCCACAGATATATAAACCCATTTTCCTATTTCCAACAGACCTCACTACCTCTGAGGATGCTTGCCATAGATGCAGGCGAAACGTCAGGAGAAATGCCTCTAGAACATGGCCCTATAGCCCGAAAAAACCTACAAGAACCTAGTGATTCCAGCCATGAAAGCCTTCGACAATACATTGTCTATGTGCATATTGAAGTGTGCCTTCACATAGATTAGATCAGGGGTCCTCAAACTTTTCAAACAGAAGGCCAGGTTATAGTCCCTCAAACTGTTGGAGGGCCACATTATAATTTGGAGAAAAAAACATGAATGAATTCCAATGCACACTGCACAGATTTTATTTGTAGTGGGAAAATAACCACTTAAAAACAATACAATAATTAAAATGAAGAACAATTTTAACAATTATAAACTTATTAGTATTTCAATAGGAAGCGTGGGCCTTCTTTTGGCTGATGAGATAGGATTGTTGTTGTTGTGTGCTTTCAAGTCGTTTCAGACTTAGGTTGACCCTGAGCGAGGGCCGGGTAAATGACCTTGGAGGGCCGCATCCAGCCCCCGGGCCTTAGTTTGAGGACCCCTGGATTAGATAAATAGATAGATTAGAAAAATCACCAGGTTCAAAGGATAGATAAGATAGATTTGATTTTTGTTGTTGTGTCAGGAGTGACTTGAGAAACTGCAAGTCGCTTCTGGTGTGAGAGAATTGGCAATCTGCAAGGACATTGCTCAGAGAACGCCCGGATGTTTTGATGTTTTATCATCCTTGTGGGGGGCTTCTCTCGTGTCCCCGCATGAGGAAGTGGAGCTGATAGAAGGAGCTCATGCGCACTCTCCCCGGATTCAAACCTGCAACCTGTTGGTCTTCAGTCCTGCCGGCCCAGGGGTTTCACCCACTGTGCCACCAGGGGCTCTGATAGGATAGATAAGATAGATTCAAAAGATAGATATAATAGATTCGAAGATAGATAAACTAGATTGGAAAGATAAAATAAATAGATTAGAAAGATAGCCAGGTTAGATAGATAGATTCAAAAGATGAATATGATAGGTTCAAAAGATAGATAAGATAGTTTATTTATTTATTTATTTATTTATTTCGGGCACTTCTACCCCACCCTTCTCAACCCCCTAGGGGGAGACTCAGGGCGACTTACAACCGGCACAATTCGATGCCACAATTCAACAATAAAATACGCAACAACAATAACCACAATAGTTAAAACATTCAATTAATACAACAACAACTAAAAAGCCAATCTAGTGGCCAACGTTCGACGAGTTCTGAAATCCGTACGTCCATTCAGCATTACCATATTCCTTTCCACATTCTGGTCGTCATTACCTTGTCAGTCTGCCAGATTACCCAAAGGCCTGGTCCCATATCCATGTTTTCAGCTTCCTTCTGAAGGAGAGGAGGGATGTTGATGACTTAATTTCCCCAGGGAGTGAGTTCCACAGGTGAGGGGCCACCACTGAGAAGGCCCTGTCCCTCGTCCCTACCAGCCTCACTTGTGATAGAGAGAGCAGGGCTTCCCCAGAAGATCTTAAACTCCAAGGTGGGTCATAGAAGGAGATACGTTTGGACAGGTATGCTGGGCCGGAGCCATATAGGGCTTTATAGGTTATATTTAACAAATATAAACTTACCTGAATTCCAATGGGAATTGTGGGCCTACTTTTGGCTGATGAGATATGATTGTTGTTGTTGTGTGCTTTCAAGTCGTTTCAGACTTAGGTTGACCCTGAGGGCCGGGTAAATGATCTTGGAGGGCCGCATCTGGCCCCCGGGTCTTAGTTTGAGGACCTCTGGCTTAGATAGATCAATAGATTAGATAGATCAATATATAGATTAGATAGATAATATGCTTGTCAAGAGGAAAAGTTTTAAAATGTGTGTTTTGAACTTCATGATGAACTCAAAACATTTTTAAACCAGAAAGCAATACCGCAGTACGCAGCACTTTTCAGCAATAAAAGTGAACTGCAGAAAATAGCTTACTTGATTGATATCTTTGCCATCTTGAATGAGTTAAATTTATCACTGCAAGGACCAAATGCAACATGCCTTGATTTGTCTCAAAAGATCCAATCATTCCAAATGAAACTTCGGCTTTGGCAAAAAAAAAAAGAGATGAAAATAAAATTAACATGTTGCCCACCTTATCTGATTTCTTTGAAGAACATGACATTGAACCAGACAAAAGGATTATAGTGATAATTTCTGTGAAAGAATACTTGCACATGCTTGCAGATGACATTTCATCATACTTCCAAATCTATCTCACACTTCATTTGCACTTGCCAGAAGGCCATTCACAGTCAATGTTAAAGATGTTCCTGAGCCAGCACAAGAGGAGTTCATTGAGCTTAACAGTGGTGCAGCAGGAACTGATTTCTCTGCAATGACAGTTACAAAATTCTGGATCAAGTGTTTGCAGTCATATCCTGTTCTGTCTGAGACTGTGTTGTGCCTTCTTCCATTTCCAACAACATAACTTTGTGAAACAGGGTTTTCCAGCTTGTTGGTTATCAAGTCTAAATGCAGAATGCAGACTTGTGGAAGATGATCTTCGTTGTGCTCTTGCAAAGACTGCCCCAATAATTTCTTATCGGTAAGAAGCAATCTCAGCCTTTGCACTGATGTTGGCTTTTTATGCATACTGTCACAAAATGTAGCAATGTAGTTTACTGTTGTTATATTAAGACTGTTACTCATGCTACACCATGCTTCAAGACAAAACTTCATTTATTTGTCATTAGAAATAAATATTTCACAATATATAATCATGTATTGTTTTTGTGATAAATCACAATGCTTTAATCATGCTCAATTCGTAACAATGAAAATACATCATGCATATCAGATATTTACATTACGTTTCCTAACAGTAGCAAAATTATAGTTATGAAGTAGCAATGAAAATGATTGTGTCACCACAACACGAGGAACTGTATTAAAGGGTCATGACGTGTTTATGTTTTATAATGGTTATTTTATATGATTTTGTGTTTGTAATTGAATGCTTTGCCCTCTGCTGGAAACCACCCTGAGTCCTCTTGGGGAGATAGGGCAGTGTACAAATAATAATCATGTTGGGTCATGGAAGACCTGAAATGAAGAGTGAAGGTGCATCCCCTGTTTGATTCATAAACTATTTGTGTTGTGTGACACTTGCAACTAACCTCAGAGGAAACAGAGAAGCAAGATGGATTGTGATGGTAGATTACATCACTATCAATATGAAACAAAACATCCAGTTACTTTGACCCTAATCCCACTATACCATACAGTATCGTTCCATCATTAATGTTGCACTTTAGGGGAAAGGTATGAAAAAGCAGCAATCTCAACCAAAACAGGAATTTGAAACTTGAATTTGTTTTGTCTTCATAGAACAGAAAACCTAAAGAGCTCTAAATGACTTGGCACCTTTGCCAAGTATCTTTAGACCACCAAGTCTGACAATAACACTTTGCTTTTAGAGTCACATTTTAGTTGGAAAGTAGCATCAGCCTAAATTATTCAGGCCCTAGTCAGCCTAAACACAAATTTTATTGTATTTAGCAACAGTTACATGTGGATTGTATGATATACGGTAGGCCCTCCACTTTCACAGAGGTGAGGAGTACAGGACCCCCACAAAAACAGAAGAAATGTGAATTAAAAGGGGGGTTACTGATAAGTGCACCTCTCTAGGAATTTCCAAATCCTCCATTGTGACTTCCCACAAAAGTGGATCATATAGTTGTGCTGGGGGATCTAGTGATTCCTAGAGAAAATACATGCATCAAACCCACTAAAGTTGAACACAGAAATGTGGAGAACCACCTATGATCCAAATCTCAGTCTGTTCTGCTAAATTGTAATGGAACAAATCTGCTCAATTAAAAAGTAAAATGAACTCACTTGTCCCATAGCATGAACTATTTTTGTACCTTTGATATTCTCAGACTTATATATGTTACATGCAAAGTGTTATATAAATTGGAAGAAATGCTAAGAAAAAAACTGCGGGAACAACCTACAATAAATGTGATAATTGTGTCTTCCGGGAACAACCTACAATAAATGTGAGATTGTTGTCTTCCATTAAAAAGTATATGGCAGAGATTGCAAAAATATCTTCTGTGAATTTTGTTTTCATGCTAAATCTTGATATGAAAATTGAGCAGAACCATATGCAGTTGATACCATTCTTTAAAAACAACTATTACAATTCAGATGGTGAAAAGTGGTGTAGGTGCTGCAACATCTGATGTGCTGAATAGAAGGAAGCCAGAGAAGACTGTGTCATCATCTGGATCTGCATATAAGCCATTAAACATCTCCCCTCCAAAGCTCTCCAACCATATCTGATCACCTTCCTTCAGTTCCAAGACAATTCCTCCTGAGGCCTGATCTTCAGCACCTTGGTACTTATCCGAAGTGTGGAGCATCCTGTACCCATTTTTTACCAGAGCTACTCTAACATTCTTTACAAGAACAGTGATGTGATAGGTGAAATAATAGACGCCAGCAATCTGACAGGTGAATACCCCAGTGTCCGTGTTGTAATGGTTTAAGCTATTATACATCACTTTGTCAAATTTGATGGGAATATTTAAAGGAGGAAATTTAGTGATGAGACCTACACTGAAGGCACTTCTAGGGAGGATGGGGCTACTACCACGATTTCCCTTATCTCCCCTGTCACCTTTCCCGCCTTTTTCACCCTGAATTCCTTTACTGCCCTTTGGTCCCAGGGCTCCAACCTCTCCTTTTGGACCAATGTAGCCCATTGGCCCCATGGGGCCCTTTAAACCTATTTCTCCTTGGGCTCCAAGTTCCCCTTTGGTTCCTTTGGGCCCAATAGGGCCAATGTCACCTTTTAAGCCCTTTCGCCCCTGAAGTCCTAGCTCCCCCTTTTGACCTTTGTCCCCTATGGGTCCAGGCATTCCTGTTGGTCCAAATTTCCCTGGCCAGCCTCTCTCCCCTTTGGTTCCTTTATTTCCTTTCTCTTCAACTCTGCCATCAGTACCTGAAAAGAGAAGGAGAGAGAGAGAGAGGAGAACTATATATTTAATTTTCTAATTGTTGTAAGCATAAAATCAAGATAAAAAATAAAAAGTATTTGCCATACATGTATTACCTAGCATGATACTGGTAGAAGATGAGAGGTACAGCCTTGGATTTTCAGACCATAGTTGGGAAAATGGGGAAAGAGATATTCAAAAATTTCTCAGAATTTCAGTTTGAGAAAAGTGTAGAAACATCAGCATAGCAGAGCCTGGTTCCCAAGTTAAACACAGAAGGGGGTGGGTGAGGATGGAGGAATCCTGCAGCTGCATTTTGATCATGATCTATTCAGTGCAACACTTTGTGGGAGTTGGGTTTAGAGTTTGAGTGATTAGAAGAATCAGTCAGCGTCAGAGATAAAGATTAATTAGAGCCAGTGTTAGGATTACTTAGGACATGAATGAATGAGCAAGTGAGAGATGTATGATAGAATTAATGTGAATCGGGATTTATCTCTATTAAACAATCCACGATGTTATCTCAGTTTAATAAACCATTGTTTTTTGTTATACACTTCAGCCTCTGAGAACATGGCACATTGGAAAGCTTGAATCTAGACATGATGTCTGGTGTCTAGTGGGGAGATACGATGCCACCAGGGCATCTAAAAGGTCACCACATTTGATACCATAGTAATGGGACACGAGCAGGTCCACACATTGGTGGCAGAAGGAGCGGGGGGATAAGTGAAATCTCACACATTTTGGTGGAAGCACAGCCAGTAAAATCTCAGTTCCAATTTGGTGATAGGTGACCTTGATCAAACACATTATTTTAAGTCTTATCTAATTGTCAAATAACAAAAGATGAGTAAAAATTGTCATTAAAAATAGAGAGCTTGAGCAGTTTGTAGTTGCGCTTGTATGGTTGTATACAAATCAGTCACTTGCTAGGCAATTCCTAAGATATCTACCATATCTGATAATGCTACTGATAGTTAAATTATTAGATAAATGCCTTCTATCAACAATTAAGCAAATGCCTTTTTTGAGATACTTATGGAAATGTTTTCTCTATGGTTGGCTGTTAGAGATAAATAGATTTTCGTAACAAATGAATGTTATAGTGTTGTGAAAATGATTGCTTCTTTATGATGTTTCATATGATGAATATAGTGTATCAATTTGATATAAGAAGTTTGATTCTATACATGCAATGTAAGGCTTATGCTAAGAATGGTCCTAGACTGAGAAAGAGACTATGTTTTGTTGCTGATTTGACACTGTAAATAAATAACCAAGAAGATGCACGTTCATTTCTCCATGGCAAATACTTCGAAATTCCAATGCTTAAGGTTACATATGATTTATCTTGATATTATGTCCACTTACTCGATACTTGATATTATGTCCATGAATTTGGAAATTCCGGTGACCAAACCACTGAAGTCAAGGCAACTTCTAACAGATACAGTCTGACAAATAGCAATGGATCTGCAGATCCCCCAAATAAAGAGGAGTGGAAAAATCACATCTATTTCACACTTACATTATATTCTACACCCTTTAAATCCATGGACAAATCTCTATCAAGTGTGAATTTTTGCACCAGTCTTGAATTTGATGGGAAAAATCTTCCTATGAACTGGTGCAAACTTTAAGATCTTCCGGAGAGGCCCTCCTTTCGCTCCCACCACCGTTACAAGTACAGTTGGTGGGGACGAGAGAGAGGGCCTTCTTGGTGGTACCCCCCCCCCCCGCCTCTGGTACGCCCTTCCTAGAGAAATAAGACAGGCCCCATCCCTCACCTCCTTTTGTAAGAGCCTGAAGACCTGGTCGTTTAAACAAACATTTGAGAACGACTAGTTCTAACTTAGCGGCAGATACTGTTGAAATTGGCCACATCTTTTTCTACCAATTACCCAGTTACTTCCTTCTATTAGGCCCTGCAAATGTACAGCTATAGACTCTACCTAATTTCCTGGGCCCTCTAAAATTGCACCAGTCCTGGCCCAGCCTTTTAAATTGCCTTGAACAGGCAGGATTTTTTTAATATATATGTGCTGTTGTGTTTTTTAATGCTTATATTAACTTGCTAATTTTATGTTTATGCTGTTTTCCTTGTATGTATTGATTATGTTATTTGGAAACTGTTCTGAGTCCCCTCGGGGAGATAGAGTGGTATATAAATAAAGTTTTGTTGTTGTTGTTGTTCCTCTTATCAGAGCCACATCAAATACAGGAATCGTATTAATCCATATCAATCACTATTAGACCAATTCTTTTATTTGTGGGAGGATATACCCTTTTCCTTTTAAAATTAATTGCTGGTGTGTTCAATGCTCACTTATGTCAACATCCAGCCATCCATGTCAGCAGAACAGAGCATGACATATGGCACAATTCAATGCATCACAATCCATGTTTAAACACCACACATTTTCAAAAAAATTACTAATTGATCTCACCGGGTTCTCCTCTATCTCCAGCCACACCATCTACACCTGGTTTTCCTGGGTGTCCTGGTTCTCCTAGCAGCAGCAAGAGATAAGAAATATAGTTTTTAATAGGTTATTTAATTATTTTTAACATTTAAAGAAGGCCATTTCTCTAGTTCACACCATTCTAGATTGCTCCAGTATTTCACAAGAAAGAATTGTGCCAATCTGAAGACTTTGGGAAGTTCAGATTGGTGCAAAAAGTCCTTCAGCTAATCTAGTACCTATTTCTTTCTTCTCTTCCCCCTTTTGTACCCTGCTTATTTTAATTGCTGCAGACTGAGCGCAAAGTGCAAAAGTAGTTCATAGTCAACTCAGCAGAGAGAAAAGGAAGAACAGAATCTTGCCTTTCCCAGTAGACTCAGGCAAAAGCAAACTGCCGCAAGCCTCTTTGCCTTTCTATTCTTTCTCCATAATAACCCTTGTTGTCCTTACAAAACTCTGATCTTGCTGACCACATGTGCCCAAATGTTCACCTGAGAAATAAAGTACAGTAGAGTCTCACTTATCCAACATAAATGGGCAGGCAGAACGTTGGATAAGCAAAAGTATTGGATAATAAGGCAGAATTAAGGAAAAGCCTATTAAACATCAAATTATGTTATGATTTTACAAATTAAACACCAAAATATGTTTTACAACAAATTGACAGAAAAAACAGTTCAATACACGGTAACGTTATGTAGTAATTATTGTGTTTACGTTTAGCACCAAAGCAGACAAGGGTTCTTTCTTTCTCCCACCCTGGACATTATTCCACAGGTACACTCCACTCTGCTTACCTGCGGATACAGGCAGGAGGCAGACTGCGTTGGATAATACAGAACGTTGAATAATTGAAGGTTGGATAAGCGAGACTCTACTGTATGTGGCCATTGCTATTTTAGATCAAGAGCTCAAGATTAATTTGTTTGTAGGATGTGTGTTTCATTAGACACATGCATGATAGTAACTAGGCAGTTTAATACCTGGATCTCCTTTTCCCCCCTTTGTTCCATCTCTTCCATCTCTTCCCGGTATGCCATTGTGTCCAGGGTTTCCGGGTATTCCAGCATACCTTTCGGCACAACTGCTCTCTCTTTGTATTTCCTCTGCGCTCATAGCAATGGGCAGCAGAAGAAACCAGAGCTTCATATTTAATTTCAACTGCAAGAATGAATTTTTAAAAGTCCAGTGACTAACGCAGTAATAAAAACAAATACTAAGTCATAATCATATTTGCAATGGCATCTGAATGTCTTTCTACAGAGCCATCTGAATCCTTGTGAGAGGACAATACTATGGTCCGTGGACCACCAGCAGTACCCAAGAACTAAAGTATGGTCCGCGGCCTCATTATTACTACACAATTGCAATGAGAACAACTGGTCTTGTGAAACCCTCTTCTCATGCCAAGACTTGTGAAATGTGGCTTTCTGTGGGTGAGCAGATGGCGACTGCATGATGGCATATGTTCTGTATCAAAAACGAGAGCTGATGTGGTCTATCCAATGCAATTTTCTGAATGTCAGCACCCCAAATAACCAAACCAAATCTAAAGTTGGCCAAATGCTGATTTGTAACCCTTTTGGTACTAATGTTGGAGAGTGGTCCCTAGTCAAAGTGATCCCTGGTCAAGTGGTCCCTGGTCAAAAAAAGCTTGGGAACCACTGACTTAGATAAAAAGTATATATGCTGTTCTTCTATACATTCTCAAATTAGACACTAAGGCTTTCTATATTCCTTACAATTACAATTTCCCCTCGCATACAATGATTACCTGAGATGTATGCTACACAATCAGACTTGAAAATTAAGCTTATAGTTTCTCTTTCAATGAATGGTTAATCACAAAACAAGCTAAGCTGAATTCAAAACAAACAGTTTAATATAATCATGTACTATTACTATATTCAGCTTATGTTTTTCATCAATCCAGGAAGACTTGTTTAACAGCTTGAGCAGGACAAAGCTCTTGTTTTCATACTCTTATTTTTGAGAGCACCAAAAATAACCCTACCACCCAAGATCGGAGAGCACTGTAGGATCTTTTTTTAAAAAAATAAAATTAAATGATGATTGACATTTAGAGTGGCTGGTTAAGAGAAAGAAACACCTGTGCTCTACACCAAATAATTATAATGTCTGGGTTATCAGACCATCCTATGAAGATCAACTTGCTTATTAGCACAAGATAAAATAAAAATTAAGAACATTAGTATATAATTAAAGAACCCAAGTTTTACAACGGTAACATGGATTTGAGTATAGATCAAGCAAGACTTCTATTACAGCATACTGTCACCAATGAAATCCATGAAAATGAGAAATGGGTGAATCTACACTGTAGAATTAATATAGTTCGACACTGCTTTAACTGCCATGGCTCAATGCTATGGAATCATGGGTACTGTAGTTTTACAAGGTATTTAGCCTATAGAGTGCTGATGCACTAGGTATCACGGCATTGAGCCATGGCTGTTCAAGTAGTGTAAAACTGCATTAGTTCTGCAGTGTAAATGCATCTTGAGGCACTTATGCTCTGAACCTGAATATCTCTTCTGTAACTAACCTTTTAAGAGTTAGTACTTCTTTGTTTCTCTGGTACCTCTTATATCTCATAGATCGTGAACAAAATATATCCTGTGCCATATCAATGATAATATATTCTGAACAGTTTTAGACTGTTGTTATTTTGTGCCTTCAAGTTATTTTTGATTTAAGAAGGCCCTAATGAAAACTTACCATGAGTTTTCCTGGTAGAATTTTTTCAGAGGATAATTGCCCTTGATTTCTCTGAGCTGAGAGTATGTGACTTCCCCTAGGCCATCTAGTAGGTTTCCATGGACAAGTGACAATCCATCAAAATATATACAATGTATGATGATCACAACACTATTTAAAAATATTTGCAAAATGAATGTTGCCAGAAGTCTTCTATACTCCTCTCCTCAAAAATATTTTATTTCCCCAAAAGTTTTATATAGTTTTATATTGTATAAACACTTTTTAAAAGTATTGCCACTAAACTACAGAAAATTAAGAAATTATCTTGTATAATCATTCTTACCATGCAAGTGGCTGAAAACATGGTTATCTGACACCAGTGTCCCTTCCAAAGCTTCTGCAGAGTATTTCAATCTGAGACAACGAACATCTTTATTTATATCAGCGGTAATTGACTTACATATCACGAGATACAGGGCGAATGGATTTATTAGAAACAGATGAACCATATTATAAAAAGGCACATAGATCTAACTTTTCATTGAGTCTATCCAAGACAACTGAGAGCTTAGTCAGTATTTTCCACTTCATCACATTGAAGCAGGGAAGTATAGAGCTCAGTCTTTCTCAGTTTTGAAATGAAACAGATAATTTCCCTACCTTATTCACACTGTTAAATCTATCAGTGTTACTCTGTCATAGTTAGCGTTCTTTCATTTTTTACATTAAAGGATCTATTTTGAAGATCCCTGTACTGTGGTGGCCATGAGACCAAAAATAACCAGTTATATTCTTTTTACTCCATCACATGCATATTTGTATCTGTGTTGTCTAGCCATGCTGTTATCTGGAGGTGTGCTAATGCTCATATAGTCATGTGCTGATTTGCAGGTATTTAAATACATGATCATTCAAATAAATAAAAGTAAATTGATGGTGAATTTAAAATAAAAATTCAAGTGTGACTGAGCCTACTTCATGTGATCTGCTGACCACCCCCATTCCTCCCTCAGCTCCAATGGGGATTCACCTGAACTTATGCAGATATTCAGTCAGCATGCTAGGAAAAAAATCCATTCTTTTTAAGGACCAAAGAGTTGGCTGGAATTAAAAGTAGTGTATATACTCAAGCATAAGCCTAGTTTTTCAGCCCTTTTTAAGGCTGAAAAAGTCCCCCTCGGTTTATATTCAAGTCAAGATTATTTATTTATTTATTTATTTATTTATTTATTTATTTAGAAATGTAATACAATGGTATGGTTGCTGATGACACAATAAATAAATGTTATTTATTATTGTATTCTGTTGTTATTATGATTATATTTATTATTTTACTCTAATTATTATGATTACATTTATCATTTTACTATATTATTATCATTATTACATTATTTTACTTTATTGTTGTTATTACATTTATTATTTTGCTCTCTTGAATATTATTGGAAGGATACTAAGCAAGAACATTTACATTGAAGAAGATTAGAATAATGATTTAATCAGAGTTGGGCTGTCTTTGCTCAAATTACAGTTTTATGTAAATATTCAAAAACATTTAACCTACTGACGCCTCAATTAATCTATTGTATTGGTATTTATTTTTATTTTGAAATGTACCAGTAGCTGCTGCATTTCCCATGCTCAACTTATGCTCGAGTCAATCCGTTTTCCCAGTTTTTTGTGGTAAAACCAGGCACCTCGGCTTATATTTGGGTTGGCTTATACTCTAGTATATATGGTATATGTCCTGGAAATTGGAAATGGGGCTACAAAGTGGAGCCCATAACATGCAAGTGTGGAGAAGAGCAAATCACAGACCTCCTATTACAATGCAGCCTGAGCCCTGCCACAATGAAGGACCTTCTTATAGCAACACCAGTGGCACTCCAAGTGGCCAGTTACTGGTCAAAGGACATTTCGTATAATGCCAAGTTTTTGTTTGTGATTTAAATACATAACAACCGTACCCTCAATTCGCTTCTGACATGATAAAAACTGGAAATACACATGGGGTAATATCCTTTGTTTCAGATATCCACTGGGTCTCTTGGACAATTACCTACCACAGAGAAGTGATGTTAAGTGATTTCAGCTTTGCTAAAACACTGTCTCATAGTACGTAGATCATGGTCAAGGAGCGGCCCGATGTGTTTATCTTTCCAGAAGACCAAATCAGACACAGATGGGTAGAACTAAGATCGGAAGCTTTATTCTCAATGGCTAGAGAGGATGTCAGCAGAGAGAGCCCTCCAAAGAACTGACATACCCCAATGCAAGCATGCAGAAATGTTTATAGCACTTTGAAAACGGTTTGAAACAAAATACTTCTGCTGCCCTGAGTGATGACTGGTCCAGGTAGTGGCAGGCTAAGATCTGCAGGCTGGTTAGCTGGGATGCGCTGTCTGTCATTGCTGTTAATTGGCATCCAGGTTTGGAGGGAAATTTAATAAATTGTCATTGCTGGTTCTAATTCTCTGGGATGTGTGAAGGAAAAAAATGGGTGAGCTTGATGGTAGATTTCCCATTCTGGGGAGGACAATGGACCATGCTAGTGAAACAATGGCTAGCAATGGGTGTTAGCCACCCCAGCAGGATAAGAGAGAGTGTTGGCAACTTCTGTGACTCTAGTTTGCCTCCATTGTTAGGTATGCAGAGGCATTTTGGGGGATTATAGTAATTGTGGGGTTATTTTCTAAAGTCCTGGGTGTGGTGGGGCAACATTCCAATGACATTCATGAAAGGTTACTACCAGGAAATGGAAAATCTAATATGTGGTGGCTGTTTATCTCATTAGGTAATAATTCATAATCTGGGGGACTGGTTTCTCGATAACATTGGAGAACTACTATAATTAGTACACGAGAACTGTGGAGTCAACTCAAACTTAAAAAACAGCCAGGAAAATGACTCTGAACGATTGCTGTATCACAAGCAGGATAATAAATCAATTGTAGCATTGGGAGCAACCACAAGGGCCATCTAATCTAATCACTACCAATTAAAGCCCTCTGGATAGGTGGCCATCTAGTCTCTGTTGTAAAACCTATCAAGGAGCAGACTTTACCGCACTCCAAGGGAGCATATCTCACTGTCAAACAGACAAACAGCTCTTACCAACAGGACGTTCATCTTAATATGCAAGTGTTGTTGCTAGAAAATAAAAGAGGGTTAACTTGTGCATTGCCCTCCCCTTGGAGGCCCAATGAGTGCCTACATTGGTTTCTTTTTGGTGCCAAATCAAGACTGAGCTTTTAGACCCCAATTCACTTTTAAGATGTACAGTACATGGTTTTGAAAAACATATACTTTTAGCATTCTAGTGCTGTTTTAATTTGGTTTGGCAATTATATATATTTTTACTCATAGTAGAAAATCAAGGTAACTCCTTTACCTTGATCTACTGTCTTAGCAATTTGCAGGAAAATGGATGATTCATTTATAAACAATTAAAATGAATAAATGATAAAAAGACAATGTTTCCAATTACTAGATTGCCATCATGTGGTCATCTTGAATATTGCAGGAAATCCATGATAAAGAATAATTCAGGATTTAAACTAGGGTAACACTTTGACCAGAATGTTGGTGGTTCGAAATCTGCGGGATGGAGTGAGCTCCTGTTGATAGCTCAGGCTTATGCCAACCTAGCAGTTTGAAAACATGCAAATACTGTATGAGTAGATCAATAGGTACCATTCCAGCGGGAAGGCAATGGCACTCCATGCAGTCATGCCAGCCACATGACTAGGAGGTGTCTACGGACAACTCCGGCTCTTCGGCTTAGAAATTGAGATGAGCACCACTCTCATCGAGTCGGAATTCACTAGACTTAATGTTGAGGGAAAACCCCTACCCTTTAACACTTTTATTCCCAACCCAAGGGTCTCAAAACAGGCAGCAAGATTTTGGGTTACCCATAGCTCTTGGCTGGGTAAGATGATAACCAAAACAAACAGCTATGCTGAGTATGCAGGGGTGGGGAGGAGGATTTGGGGAGTTGTAATAGTAACACCTCAGTCCAGCTGTGACACAGATTCGAGTTCAGTGTAAGGTGAAATACCAAGATAGTCAACAGAAGCTAAAATTAAAAAAAGAAGGCTCACAGGCAGGAAGGATGTGGCAATGTCCTCTCCCTTGCATCTTGATCAGAAGATCTCTTTCATTCAGTTCAGCAGCTGGTTATTAAGGGGGATAGAGTGTGTGAGCTTAGGCTAAGAGGCATGTTAGTTAGGCGGACATAACTAAATAATGGATCGATGAGTCTGGTGAACTCCTTTACTGTAAGAATGAAATGGACTATCTCTGAAAATCTGGGATTCTCCCCCTTTGAAGGTCTTTGAACAAAGGATGGATGGGTATATTTCATAAATGCTTTAGTTGTGTATTACTCTGTGGCATGAGGGTGGACTAGATACTCCTTGAAGCCCCTTAGAATTCTGCAGTTATTTGGGGATTCCACTACTCCCGGGACCTGGAAGGACTTTGTCTTTCCTGTGTCAATTTTTTACAAAATAGAACAGGATACTTGACACCCATAAAGGACTGCAAAGGTTTTGAATCCTTCTCAGTAAGTTCTTTGAAACTGAGTGAGATATTTTTGCAAAACCAGAAGTGATGTCATTAAAAATTAAATTTTGATGGAGATGGTATAAAGATGGGCTTCATTGGGGCTCCACTTTGCCCAACCCTTCGTAAACATCTAATCTCACCATTACGAGGGACGCTCATTAAAGATTTCCCCTGACCCACTTTCTATGGACTAGGAGCAATGAAACTTTGGCACAGTTATTAGTCCTTCCTTACATAGGTGCCTCCCAGGGACACACAGTTCTCCCATCTTTTTAAGCAACTGTAAACACCTTTCTTGTAGAAGTTGACAGGTTGCTCCAAAAGCCATGTTGTGACTTAGGAAATCAAAGTCTCATCATCTGAAAAACGCTTGCCCTTCAAAAATAACTTCATTGTTGGGAAGAGGTAGAAGTCTGATAGTGCGAAGTCAGGTGAATAAGGGGGGATGTGGTAGAATTTCAAAGCCATAGGAGCATGCTTCCATTTGGGCAACATGTGAGTTGTGAACTGGTGCATTGTCTTGCAGAAGACAGAAACCTTTGGTGAGCATGCCATGTCTCTTGGTTTTGATGGCCTCTCGCAATTTCCACAGTAGTGAAGCATAGTATGCCCCAGTGATCATGGTACCTTTTGTTTGGAAATCCATCAGTACTGCTCCGTGCTGGTCCCAAAACACTGTGAGCATGACCTTGCTTGCCGAGAGTTGGGCACGTGCCTTCTTTGGAGGCGGTGAGTCATGATGCTTCCATTGCATCGACTGGACTTTAGTCTCAGGATCACAGTGATGGATCCAGCTTTCATCCTGTGTGATCAGTCTGTTGAAAAAGTCCTCCTGGTTTCCATGGCACATTGTCAATAGAGCCTGAGAGTATTCAGCTCGTTCCTGCTTCTAGAAAGGTGTGAGCAGCCAGGGGGGCCAGTGAGCGGATACCTTATGTATGCGATGGTCTTGGATAATTTTTTCCCATGGACCCCACACTAATCTTGACATTTTGGGTTAGGTGGTGAATGGTTACGTGGTGATTTTCCAAAATGGCCACCTCCACTTACTGGACGGTGTGTTCACTGATAGCAGAGTGGGGTCACCTTGGAATTGGAGCTGTTTGCATCAAAGTCTGACCACATTTGAATTGATAATGCAAGTTCTAGGCTACATCATATGATGTGGAATCATCATCATAAACCTCTTTCATCTCATCGAACATCTCCTTTGGTGTGTGGCCTTTCAAGTAAAGGAACTTGATGACTGCTCTGTATTCCACTGGGTCAATTACCAAACCTAACACCATTTCAGCACCTGTACAATCAAGACCATTATCAGTTCTGAGTTGTAAATTGGCATGTAACCTATAGAGACTTATATCATTACACATGTGCAGTTTCAGCGTCCTGTGATAAATAGAAGTGGGTGAGGGGAAATCTTTAATGAATGCCCCTTGTATCATGGAAAATGGAAATGTGTGAAACGTTAACTTCTTTGATCATTTCTGAAATATCAAATGATTTAAATTCAATATTTCACAGCAGGTATTACTTAAATTGCTCACTCTCTATTTTATTTGCAAATGCATTGATATGAAAATAGTTTTTGGTGTCAGGGTAATACAGATAGTTGAAATAATAATTTTCAGCGATGAAACAAAAACATATTCTACAATATAAGCCTGGAATTCAGATCTCTAAATCTGTTCGAATTTGAAATGGCAGTTCTGTTTAGGCATGGTGTGTCGTTCCATTTCTTCGATCTCGGTGTCATTGCACAAAACAGTGAGCGAACCAAATATAGAAAAACATGATAATTTTGGCCTTCAAATATTTAAAGCTCACATCCAGGATTTCACACACTATGAAAAAAATCACAAAAATTAGAACTGTACAACGAAATTATAAGACACATCTGAGAAATGTTAACTTGTTACACGTTAAACCATAAACCAAGTTAGAGCAAAGTAAGTGGAATGCATGTTTCTATATACATTTTCTGAATACAGATCTTTTACAATGTAAAGATAAGATGACATCCTGAATGCAAATAAATCTGGCAACATAGATAACAGCAAATATATATGAATGTAAAAGGATCCTATACATTATGCGCTTTAGCTGTCAACGGATAGTTTTTCTTTCTGAAGCCATGATGTGTGGTTTGCCACAAACGCAGTGGTATACAGCTGCTAAGATGCATAAACCCTATACAGATGAAGCAAAGATTTATAGAAAACTTGCCAAGGTAAAATATACAAGCAAGTTAAAGAAAGCGGCTCTAGTAAGTGCAATAATTATAAACTACATATTAATTTGGAAGGCAACTCCCATATGCAGTTATCATACACACTGAGAAAGAAAGGCAGCTGACAATATACAGGCATGGGCAAACTTTGGCCTTCCAGGTGTTTTGGACTTCCACTCCCACAATTCCTAACAGCCTCAGGCTCTTTCCTTTTCCCCCCCAGCCGCTTAAGGCTGTTAGGAATTGTGGGAGTGGAAGTCCAAAACACCTGGAAGGCCAAAGATTGCCCATGCCTGATATACAGTATAGCATTTTATTATGGCTAATGTCCTTTGTCTCAAACTCCAAGCTAAAAAATAAAACACCAGGTTTTTTTTTAAAAAAAATACAGCAATATGTGAAATGTTTCAATGGTCAATGCCATTTTCTGGAGCAAAATAACACTCTAGTAGGAAGCAAGAGAGCTAGAGTTTGGTGCCAATTAAGACCAATGGAAACGAGAAAGTGTATGCTTTTCTTCTTTCCATGTATAATGGCCAATGGTCAGTGCTTTAGTGATGTTAGGCATCAATTCTGCTCTACAGTGTTAATTCATCAGTTCTGAACTTTGGATCCCCAGAGATGGTTGAACTACAACTCCTACCATCCTCAACCAACATATTTAACAAGCAGGGATGATAGGGATCTGTATTACTATTACTCCTACTACTATATTTCAATTGCCTTTTAAAACTGTCTAAATGATGTCAATATAGTTGTTTAATTGTTTGTCACTTTTTGGAGCTCCTGGTGGTGCAATGGGATAAACCCCTATGCCGGCAGGACTGAAGACCGACAGGTCGGAGGTTCGAATCCGGGGAGAGTGCGGATGAGCTCCCTCTGTCAGCTCCAGCTCCCCATGCAGGGACATGAGAGAAGCCTCCCACAAGGATGGTAAAACATCAAAACATCCGGGTGTCCCCTGAGCAACATCCTTGCAAACGGCCAATTCTCTCACACAAGAAACAACTTGCAGTTTTTCAAGTCATTATTGACACACAAAAAAACCCTTTTGTATCAATCGCTGTATGTTCTTCCATTGCAAGTCACCTTGGGTCCTTATTGGGAGGAAGGCAAGATGTAAATTAAATGCATGAAGTTAAATAAATAGTGAAATGAAGGCAAGCATATGTTGAGGCAAGCATATGTTGAATTGTGTTAAGAGTAATCATAAATGTCTAGCTGATTTACATGTATATCTGGGTCAGGAGGTCAAGAACCCTCCCACTATATCTGCATGCCCAATGGGATTTTAGTGCAATTTGCAAATATATTTTTTATGCATGCAGATTTGTAAAATTAATTTGCAATACATCACAGTATCCTTGAGGTGAAAGTGAAGGTGGGATTTAAAAAAATACTTGGTAAGACTAAGTGCAAATAGAAGCCTCCCACAAGGATGGTAAAACATCAAAACATCCGGAGTCCCCTGGGCAACGTCCTTGCAGATGGCCAGTTCTCTTACACCAGAAGTGACTTGCAGTTTCTCAAGTTGCTCATGACACGAAAAAAAGTGGAAATAGTTCTTTGGATGCTGGCCAGACCTACCCTGAATATCTTGGGTAATGCTACTTTGGTTGAGAGCATAACATTTGCATCCAAGAGCCTGTGATATTATAAATTTAGTTGATTTTTCTAGCCTCCTAGCATTCCAAAATCATTTGAAAATGAAATAATTCCAAAACAAAACAATGAAAAACAAAAAAATAATGTTATTAAACGTAGTGTGCACTCTAACATGCAGCACACAATTTGATACAGAGCAAAAATAGAACACAAAGGTGTGTGTGGAGGGGGAGTGGGAGAAGAGTTTGTTCAATAAAGGTTTGACATATAGTATTGTGCAAAACATTATTGTGTGACCGGGATAATGATATAAGGCTTTACAATATTTGAGAATTTCCTGAGAAAGTAACATCAGTGCAACTGTGTCCAGTTCTGGGCAGAAGATGTTGACAAGCTGGAATGTGTTCAGAGGAGGGCGACTAAAATGATCAAGGGACTGGAGAACAAGCCCTATGAGGAGCAGCTTAAAGAGCTGGGCATGTTTAGCCTGCAGAAGAGAAGACTGAGAGGAGACATGATAGCCATGTATTAATATGTGAGGGGAAGTCATAGGGAGGAGGGCGCAGGCTTGTTTTCTGCTGCCCTGGAGACTAGGATGCAGAACAATGGCTTCAAACTACAGGAAAAGAGATTCCATCTGAACATTAGGAAGAACTTCCTGATTGTGAGAGCTATTTAGTAGTAGAACTCTCTGTCCGGAATGTGATGGAGGCTTTTAAACACAGGCTGGATGGCCATCTGTCAGGGGTGCTTTGAATGCCATTTTCCTGCTTCTTGGCAGGGGCTTGGACTGGATGGCCCATAGAATATAGATTATATGATTCTATGAACTCTTAAGCGGCCGAGGGGGAAAAGGAAAGGGCCTGAGGCTGTTAGGAACTGTGGAAGTTGAAATCCAAAAACACCTGGAGGGCCCAAGTTAGCCCATGCCTGCTGTAGCTTCTCATGTAGCATTTTTTGAAATGTTAATGAACACAAGCATACTGATCTATGTTTATCACTTCCAACATGGAAATCCAACAGAAATGGAGAAACAGGATCAGCAAAACAGAAAGTTCTTTCTGGCTACACAATTATAGCTCTATAGGTTAACGACTATGGGTTCAAACTATGGAATCATAGGGTTTGTAATTTGGAGAAGCGCTGGGGATTCTTTTTGCAGAGAATTCTGACTATCCTCCCCTAAAATCTCAGGATCCCAGATGATGGAACCAGGACACTTAAGGTGGAACAATTGTGTAATGTGAAAGGGTTGCATAAGTACAACAAATCTAAGGCAGCAAGCGTCTGTCATGTTCAACAGGATTCAGTACATTCAGTAACCAGAGACTGTCAATCGAAACGATTGAGGACCTCCCTAGAAAAGAGCATAGCAAGCTAGCACCCATTCTACGAGGAGGTAAGAATATCTCACAACACTTTGTTGCAAGTCTTTCTTGTCTGAGAAAATTTCAGGTCAAATTTTTAAAATGTGAGTGGAGCAAGGTGAACTGCAACTTTAAAATTCTTGCTTGCCCAACCTGTAGACATTCAGGGTTGCAGTCTTAAGGTGAAGGTAAAAGTCTCCCCCCTTTTTTAGTGTCAGGAGCAACTTGAGAAACTGCAAGTTGCTTCTGGTGTGAGATAATTAGCCGTCTGCAAGGACATTGCTCGCTCAGGGGATGCCCGGATGTTTTGATGCTTTACTATCCTTGTGGGAGGCTTCTCTCATATCCCCGCATGGGGAGCTGGAGATGACAGAGGGAGCTCATCTATGCTGTCCCCGGATTGGAACCCCCAACCTGTCGGTCTTCAGTCCTGGCAGCACAAGGGTTTAACCCACTGCGCCACTGGGGGCTATCCTGACGTTAAGTCTAGTTGTGTCCGACTCTGGGGGGGGGGGGGGGGGGGGGGAGTAGTGCTCATCTCCATTTCTAAGCCAAAGAGCCAGCGTTGACTTGAGAAATTGATACTAAATAGATATCAAAGGACCAAAAGATAGGCTAAAATGGATTTTTTTCCATTGATCAGAGCACTGATCAACTCTGCTTTTTTTCCCCGTAACAGGAGCGACTCAAGAAACTTCAAGTCACTTCTGGTGTGAGAGAATTGGCCGTCTGCAATGTGCCCAGGGGAGCTTGGATGTTTCACCATCCTATCAGAGGTTTCTCTCATGCCCCTGCATGAGAAGCTGGAGCTGACAGACGGGAGCTCACCCCGCTCCCCAGATCTGAACCGCCAACCTTTTGGTCAGTAGTCCTGCCATCACAAGGGTTTAACTCATTGCACCACCAGGGATTCCAGCATATAAGGTGACTTGGTCCATCAGTGTGTCATGTGAATGCCACAGAGTGCTCAGAAGAGGTTGGTCCTTTTTTGGTAAAGATTTAATGTACACTATTCACACTGACCCTTGGTACGTTGATCCAGTTTTGTGAAGGGGTGTGTGTGATATTTTTTCACTTAAATTTCTAGACTTATACATGAGCATTCGATATATAGCATTTTTGTTTATTACAGAAGCTGCCAATCAAGTGAACAATCTTTTATTTTATGTATGTATACAGTAGCAAAATCCAGCCAAACTGTGGGACTTTTAAATTTCACTGACTTCAACTTTTTTAAAAAAAGTATACATTCCTATTGAAATAAATTGGACTAAAAAGTGCTGTCTTTGACTGGAGAGGGAAAAGAAAATGAAGATAATTAACAGCTCACACTTAATCATGTCTACACAAAAGGCAGTGCCATTGAATTCAAAGGGATTAAGTTCTTAGCAAGTATTAGGCTAACAGGCAAACATGGTTTACATTTTACCCTGTGATTAAGAAACATGGCCCATTGCCCTTCACATAATGCAACTGTTAAACTATCAACTTTAACAGATTTGCACCCAAAACATCAACATGCTTTCCCAATTTGAAAAAAAAAATGTGAATCCTTCCTTGCTGGAAAATGTCCCTGTTTGTCAACTTAAGTTTGCCAATTGAATTGACTTGTACTCAAGATATCAAACATGAAATATGTCTGTCGTCCCAGTTTATCCCACTAATAATGCATACCGGTATAGGTTTTACTAATATATGACCACTAAGTAAAAAAATGGTGCATGCTGTAACAGCAGTGAAGCAGTAGTACGTACCATAAATTTTAATTTATGATAGTAGACCATTTTGTAAAAGTTATCTTAAAAAACAACTTCAGTTCACAGAACAAAGTGAATCCAAACAAAGTGATACTATTTTAATAATTCATAAATAGGCTCCATTTGACCTGAGTTTTAATCAAAGTACTTTTCCGATGACACCAGATGGTCCCTGGTGTAGGATCCTTTTGATGCCATAGCAAAGAAATGTTGAATGTATTGTTGAAGGCTTTCATGGCTGGAATCACTGGGTTGTTGTCGGTTTTCAGGATTGTATAGCCATGTTCCAGAAGCATTCTCTCCTGACATTTCGCCTGCATCTATGGCAGGCACCCTCAGAGGTTGTGACCTCACAACCTCTGAGAATGCCTGCTATAGATGCAGGCAAAATGTCAGGGGAGAATGCTTCTGGAACATGGCCATACAACTTGGAAAATTCACAACAAACCAAGAAATGTTGTTAAACAGCTTTTTCATGTATACATTAAGAAAAACACATCGAATACTTTGAGGGGTGTTTTTTTCTAGCAATCATGCAAAAGAATGTTTGTATTCATGGGATATAACTACCAAAATATACCTTCTCCGAACACTTTCCCACATTTCTGTTGCTTTATATTATTTGTATTTTTGTATAGTAGTGCCATTAAAATGAGCATAGTTTTACATAGTGTAAAAGCAGGCATACTAGAAATCACAGAAGCAATTCCCACAAGCTGCAGGTAACAAAATAAAACAACACTAGTTTCTGAAATGCATACAATTCATGCAACAAAAATACCACTTTTGGTAAGAATCAAACCCACAATGCATTGGGTCCCTTCCTTCATTATATCAAACAGCAAGTAAAAATGCATGTTTATTTATGTACGTCATCAAATTAACAGTTGCTCCCATTTTTTGTGGGACAAATGTTAAGGCTTTGCAGGAAGTCCTTTTCCCACTTCGTTAAATTAACAGAAAAAAGATAGCAAATTAAGACAAACAGGAAGGCCTGAGGTTCAGCAGTTCTTGCATTAGCAGCAACTTGATCACATGAGATCCACTTGCCTGCAGAGAAGGTGAAACCTCGCTTTGCAAACATGCTGTGCAGGGAAAAGAATTGCTTGCCTTCCTATTTCTAAATTTGGCCATTGATTCATTATTAAGACAGGCAAAATGACCTAGAGATTTTAACCATTCCTTTGGTACAAGTACAGTATGGACACTATATGCCACTGTTCTAGGCTTGAAGCAAGTTGACTTTGTGACCGAGTGACGGGTTCCTCATTAGCAATGTTTATTGACATGCGCCAACATTGGCTTCAGCTTACACCACAGCCATCTTCAAGTGGAAAGTCTCAATGTCATCCTTCTCAACAGACTACAGCAAAAAGGTTAAGGAGATCTTACCCCTTTCCCACCAAAACAGAATCCATAGTATTCCAGTTGAACCAATGAATTCTTTGCTGGCAAATGGCTCTTCTTTACCATATGGTCTTTTAGTTCAGGAACGACCAAGCAAGCATTCATTTCTTGAATGGGGCCAACTTGTTGAAAGTGTGCCAGAAAAGGGATGGCTTCCGTTTTGGCTCTGCCAGGGCAAACACCTGTTGCTGTGGGATGCTGGTGGGCACCGTGATGTGACGTTGGTGGATGGGATGTAAACTCTGGTGAGGCGGTGCCACTGGGCACCCACTGTAGACCCCTATAGAAACAAGCATTGAGAACATGTATAACTTGACTGCATGGAAACAAACACTGTTATTATATAAAGGATTTACAGTTCAAGCTCATTTGCCCAAGTTACATTGCACAAGATAAACTACTCCAACTGACCACTGTAAAGTACTGATCATTGTTCCCAAACTTTGTTCCTCCAGGAGTTTGGGACTTCAAATCCCAATAAGCCCAGCCAGCTTTGTCAACTGTCAGAAATTCTGGGAGCAGGAAATCTAAAACACCTGGAGGACCATAGGTTGCAAACCACCAGTGTAGATAAATACTACATGGAAATTATTGTATTGTTGAAGTCTTTCCTGGCTGGAATCACTGGGTTGTTGTAGGGTCATGAAAATGAACAAAATCTCTAAAATTGTAACAACAAATAAAGAACAACACTCAAACACAGGGGAATTCTAGACAAGAAACAATCAGGGACAGCTAATCACCTCAGCAAAGGATTCCCCCAGGCAGTAACAAGCCACACCAAAAACTGTCAGGCCATGAAATGCTAATCAAGGTGGCCAATTGAAACATTGGCTCCTACTTTCCCCACTGTGCTTAGGATCATCCAAAATTGCATCGCTGAAAAGTAAGGTGTCTGGGGTGAATCATACTTCAGTCATGCAAGAGAAATTGATTCTATAAATTACCTTTCATCTTTCCATGCCTGGACTTCCGTGCATTTTGCATGGCTTGCTTCTTTTGATTTTCAGATATCTCCATTCCTGCATTTGGAAACAAATATATGTACACAATGAGATATCTTGGAGGAGGGATCCAAGTCTAAACACAACATTCACTGATGTTTCATATACATTTTATAGCTTGAGGGTAATTTTATACATTTGCACAACCAATTTGAAATTTTTGGATTTTAGAATTCTAAGTAAGGGATGTTCAATCTATACAAGTTTGAAAGGACAATCACTTAAAGCAGTACTCCCTAACAAGATTGTCCTTTTTTTCTCGTTTCAGGAGTGATTTGAGAAACCACAGGTTGATGACCTCCCGCTTCAAGGGAGGTGAGAGGGCTTCATATTCAGTTCAGCCATACCATACAGACCCAAGTCAAGGTAGAATGATTATACTAAGCTTCCTTAAGGAAAATGTCTTGCAAGAGATATAGATAATAAGCATCATATAAAAGTGAGAGCAAGAAAAATTTCAAGACTGGATGATTCAGCTTTAGAGATTGGAACAAGAAGGTACAGTAACCTCATAACTTGTTGCATCACAGTGTATCTGAATCTCGTCTCGCATTATTTCCAATTTGAGTAATCCCAAAAGGAAGCACCCCCACTTTCTTCTTTCATGCCATTACGAGCAAGTACAATCTCACTTGTTAGGAAATAGGTGAACAACCCCTACTACAGAGGCCAGAAGTGCTAAGATCACCTGAAATACAAGGCAGGCTGCCTGGGACGCAGAGCAGGAGGGCCTATCATCCTGGTTGAACCTATGAACTAGACCAGTGATTCTTAACTTGTGGGTCCCCAGGTGTTTTGGCCTACAACTCCCAGAAATCCCAGCCAATTTACCAGCTGCTACGATTTCTGGGAGTTGAAAGCCAAAACATCTGGGGACCCAGAGGTTGAGAACCACTGATCTCGATCCATTTCAATCTGGTTTCTGGCCTGGTTATGAGATGGAAGACAGGTTAGAGCTTAACATCCATATGAAGCCTCTGAAAGAAGTTATCTAGAGTTTTCAGGTTCTGTGTAACCAATAAGTTGATGACACTCCCCTATACAACTTTTAATAGAATAATTTGCTTTAACAGTTATTTAACTTTTGTAATTATCATGTTGTTACTTTAACCTTATTTACCTTCTTTGGAAACTGCCTTGGATTTCATATTGGGAGAAACATAGGATATAAATTAATCACTAGTTGTAACAACAGTAACAAAAACGACAACAGTTCCACAAATAGTTTTGTAAGGTCTCACAAATTCAGTTGCTAGTGCACAAACGAACACAGCTCTGTCACTTCTTTGTGGCTTGGTAAATAAAAAGTCAATTTGACTACTATTATGTACCAAGTGGGTTGAAGGTCACTGGATCTATTGTGCAATTGGCTGTACAGCTATGGAATCAAATGTAACTATACCGGGAGACATTTAAACTATGCTAAAAGTATGTTACTTGCCCATTTCTTTGTCTTCTTGCACTCGCCTCCTCTCACTGGCACAGGCCTCCAGCCACTTCTTCTTATCCCCTGGTTTTTTCCCACAGAACAGATGGACCTCTTCTGTAACAATATTTACAATCTTGAAAGCATTTTTGACACTGATATTTAAGTCCTTGTCTCTGCCATCCTCAACGTCCAGCACTTCCACCTCGTCCATGTCCATGCGGCCCTTGTAATACAACATGTCCCTTCTCAGCAGGTCTTTTTTGCAGAACACAAGCTGATGGTCGAAGAGAAAGAAAGTCCTCTGCTGGCTTTTGCCTTGCTTGGAGATTTTAGTCAGTTCTCCCGAGTGGATCAGTTCTGAGCTTCTGCCTAAAATGTCTTGGCCCTACAATATTTGCAGTAAACAACAAAGGAAAGACATGAGATTATTTTCCTGGATGATTATAATTACCTTTGTCTTAACACAGCCATCTCTCCACATTCATTGGGGTTTGGAGCAAAGCGAAAAATCATGGCTAAAGAAATTGATTTTTTTTTATCTAAGAGAATACTTGTCTAGGAATTTCTAAGACTTCTGAGAGTAAGGACTCTATTATTACTAAGCGATATTTTACACTAAAAGCCATACTGTAAACAATTGTTACAAAAATACAAGTGCTATAACTAAATGACTCCAAAAAATAAATGGAAATGTAGTCAAGAGACACTTTCATATATCAAATGGAGTAACGAAACAAGGGCACACAAAAATAATAGAAATTATGCCTTCTGTATCTAAGCATTAAAAATCTCTGGAAGTGCACTTACCTCCCAGTTGACAATAGACACTTGCCAGCGAGCAATTTTGTCTATGCTTTCCAGCCTTCGTTTCCGTTCATTGATCAGGCAAGCAACATTCTTCATAGCTTCGTAGGCTGCTATTATGTCATTGTAGTCACTGCAAAATGGACAGGAACAGGTTGGTCATTTCAGATGACAACTTTAGCCTTGCTGTAAAAGCTAATAATTCTCTCTACGTGGGGCTACCTCTAAAGATGGACTGGAAACTGCAGTTGGTTCAAAGATTGGCAGCCAGATAACGAATGGGAGCAAGTTACAGGAAGCAGTCAACCCCCCTGTTTAAACAGCTCCATTGGCTGCCAATAAGTTTCCGGTCCCAATTCAAGGTGCAGGTTATCACCTACAAAGCTCTAAACGGTTCAGGACCTGCCTATCTTCACGATCGCATCTTCTCCTATGAACCAGCAGATACCCTAAGATCATCCAAGGAGGCTCTTCTCTCACTTCCACTGCCGTCTCAAATGCAGTTGGTGGGGATGAGGGAGAGGGCCTTCACGGTGATGGCCCCCAGGTTCTGGAACTCTCTACCAGGCACAATTGAAAGTGCTGGCTTTGGCCTATAAAGCCCTAAACAGTTCCAGCCCAGCTTACTTGTCCGTACGTATCTCCTCCTATGAACCATCTAGGACAGTGGTTCTCAACCTGGGGTCCCCAGATGTTTTTGGCCTTCAACTCCCAGAAATCCTAACAGCTGGTAAACTGGCTGGGATTTCTGGGAGTTGTAGGCCAAAAACATCTGGGGACCCCAGGTTGAGAACCACTGATCTAGGAGCTTAAGATCGTCTGGGGAGGCCCTGCTCTCGATCTTGCCTGCATCGCAAGTGTGATTGGTGGGGATGGGGGACAGGGCCTTTTCAGTGGTGCCCCCTGGCTATGGAACTCCCTCCCCAGGGATATTAGATCATCCCCCTCTCTCCTGGCTTTCCAAAATAGACTTTGACATTTGGGAGTTGTAGTTACTGGGATTTATAGTTCACCTACAATCAAAGAGCATTCTGAACCCCACCAACGATAGAATTGGGCCAAACTTCCCACACAGAACCCCTATGACCACCAGAAAATATTTCTGGTGGTCTTTGGCAACCCTTCTGACATCCCCTCAGGACCCCCCCCCCCCCAAAAAAAAAGGTCCTTACTCCCAGGTAGAGAAATTAAGGCCATCCAAGGCCTTAAGGCCATCCAATCCAACTCCCTTCACAAGGGCAAGAAAACATAATCAAAGCCCTCCTGACAAAGAGCCATCCAGCCATAGATATGCATAGATATATAAGATTCACACACACACATGTATATGACAGATATAGTATCATAGATTTGAAATGTTGCATGTTCCAGAATAGGCAAACCAGACAATCTCTACATCAACACTGACAAAGAAACAAGAAGAAATACTGTATATCCACAAGCATAAAGAAATTACATATATTGGAAACCAACACTTTCTCATTAGTTTATTTTCCAGATCGGGCCACAGCTACGCATGGCAGGGGACGGCTAGTAATAAATAAAATAGAAGATTGCATACAGTTGACCACATCTTCCTGCAATCGGACTGTAGGAGTATGTGTAAACAAGAACATCAATATTGTAAGAAGTATCCATGTTCCAATTTTGATTTTCATGAATAAGACACAAAGTTTGGTTGTTATCTGGGGGTGGGGGCAGTACATTCTCATTATACAAGTATCTAAATATGTATACACTGCAAAAATTACTAAGTACTTTAATACACATAGCTTGTCATGTAAATTAGTAGGGGCACCAACGTGACTCTTTTGCTTTTTGTGCAATTCAGTGGATAATTTTATAGCACAAAAATGGTGCCATAGTTTCATTCACATGCTCAGAGAGACGGAGAGTCATGGGGAACTTGGGGACAGGAGTCTATTTCTGCTGCTGCTAATCTGGGATGCTCATGCTGAGCAGACACAATTGCTCAAACAGCAGTCCTTTTGTATAAGCAGAGAGCACCACTGAACAGTTTAAATGAAGGGGAAACCCTGGCCTTTTCTACACAAAGCGAAGACAGTTCTTTTCATTGCCATTTCTAAGACAGAAGAAGAAAACTGGAGAGGAAGGAAGCAAACAACAAAGCAGCTCCCACACCCACAAAAGACCGGCTCCGTTGAATCGTGAACAATGCTGGGGGGTTGGAAAGGGAAAAGAGAACTATGGGGAGGAGGATTACTGTACTGAAAGAAAATGTGGCATCAGCAGTGTAACTTCCTGACTTGGTTGGGTCGATCCTCTGGGAAGGCCCTCCTTTCACCCCTTCATCCATCACAGGCACGACTTGTGGGAACGAGGGAGAGAGCCTTCTCCGCTGTGGCCCCCCGGCTGTGGAACTCACTACCTGGTGATATTAGGCAAGCCCCCAGCCTAGCAGCCTTTAAGAAGAATCTAAAAACTTGGCATTTCTGGTGTGCTTTTGGAGAGTGACCATATATTTCTTTCCTGTTGTTTTTTTCTCCCACAATGTGGTCCTCATACTGTACTTCCCCCACCTGTTTTAGGCCTGGCTCCACTTTTTCTGTCCCCTACGTGCTCCCTGCTTACAAATATATCCTTTTCATTGCTATCTCTCCCAGATTTTATCATTTTATGTTGTACATTTGGCCCGGCCACTGTGTTTGTTTTTTCTTTGTATTCTGCACTGTTTTATTTTATTTTTATGTTCCATTTATTTATTTATTTTATTGTGATGTTGTTTTTGTCATTTTGTATGTATTTTACTGTAATTGTATTACTGGCCTTTGCCTCATGTAAGCCGCCCTGAATCCCCTTTGGGGAGATGGTGGAGGGGTATAAATAAAGTTGTTTGTTGTTGTTGTTGTTGTTGTTGTTGTTATTATTATTATTATTATTATTGGGTATATTAATCACAACTTAAAGGATTCAGAACTCTTAACCAAATCAGTGTGCGAACACTTCTAGAATTGTGCTAGAACTCTTGACCAAAGAAGATTTGGCCCATCAAAGTGTAGCTAAAAATTGATTTTGAATCAGAACAGGTTTTCCTGATGGTCCCAATTTGGGGGTGAATGTAAGGGGCACCACTGACCTGGTTAAAACAAGCCAAGCTGGTGCAATCCTCTCAAGGGACTTGGTGAGATTTAAATGCAAAGAAGTGATCACTTATTTCAAAAGCACTTGAAAGTGTAATTGTTACATGAGCAGAAAGGTTTTGACATAGTGCAGCTTTCGCAAACACAATCTTACATGTTCCCAGTGGGGTGATAAACCATCTCGGTAAATACAGCTTCAATTTATGCTACAATTTGCTACACAACATGAATGCTCGAGGATGGAACAGGGGGAAAAAGAAAAGAAATTCACCATCATTGTCTGTGGACACAGACAACTGGCTCCAAACAATGCAGAGCTTGCATTTTTCTCTCATTCATTTATAAAGCTGCTGTAGATTACGTCATACTGTTTGCCCATCCAGTATATTATTATTTACTCTATCTGGCTGCGACTCTCCAGATGTCAGGCATAGAAACCTTTCCAGTTTTAAGTAACAGATAGCTAGTTACTTGTTGAAAGTAACAAGGACTGAATTGAGCCCCACCAGTGAAAGCACTCCCATAGATTTCCCTCTTTTGTCTTCACAGCAATCCTGTATGGCAACTAAAAGGCCCTGGTTGGCCATCTAGAAGCTTTGTGATTGACTAAGAATTAAACATAGGCCTCTTGACCGTATGGGCATATTGAAATGGGCATATTATAATCTGAACTCACTCTTGAGTTTGCCTCGGCATGCAGTTTCTCCACTTGTGGTACATGTTGTTAGTTGAACTGGGTGAATGGAATTTAGCCCTGCGTTAGGAAATTCTCTGGGATTTGCCCGAAACACTGCAGATTTAGCAGAGTATGGACAGCAGAACTGAATCCAATTTGGATCAGTTCACTACCTACATGGAGTATTGCTTCCATCCCTTTCACCAGTACAGGGAAAGGCATAGAGATTATACCTGGGTCATTGGCATTGCTTCTCCCAGCTGGCTACAGAGCACAATGTGAGCTCCTGTCCATCATGACCTGACATTAGTAGGGGCACCAACGTGACCAGAAAAAAGATGGTGAGGTTGCTTCTCTCCTTTGTCTTGTTTGTACCTTTTATGATGCCAGCATAAGGTACTAGAGCTGTCCAGGAGCTCACATGGAGCTCTGTGATCAATTGGGACCACTGGAGCTCTGTAATCAGTTGGGACCATCAGTTGTGACCATTGGTGGCCAGACTGATGGTAAGGTGAATGTCCTATGGGATCAATGTGGTCTTGACCCAACTTGACTGTGCAGATTCTAAACAGCTACCACTACAGGTTCAATATAGTACTTGTGGCCACTTCTGGGATGAGACTGGAAATTTTCTGCTCTGGATTAGCACTGTATTTACTATTTTGTTGTTATTGTTTATTTGTTCAGTCGCTTCCGACTCTTCCTGACCTCATGGACCAGCCCGTGCCAGAACTCCCTGTCGGCTGTTGCCACCCCCAGCTACTTCAAAGTGAAGCCAGTCACTTCAAGGATACTATCCATTCATCTTACCCTAAGTATTTATCATATGTTTTGCATTTCTTTACCTATTCATATATGCAACCCTCTCTTTCATAGCTAAAAATGTCTGTACCTAAGAACTTCACGTCATGCTACCAACTTCAAGTTTATATCACCAACATCTTTCACTTAGTTAGTTACAAGGGTATTAAAAGATTCTTTTCATACACATCCAGATGGTTATGTTTTTGAAAAGTTATGGTGGATGAATCTGGAAATGTCACCATAAAAAATATGTACAGATTGTTCATCTTACCTGTGTTCCTGAGTGGTATACTTAAGTAATTCTGCCAGTTGCAGGGGGTATTTGCAGATTTTCTGAACAGGTGTGAGAAGAAAACCATCAATGGCAATGTCAATCATTTGCTGAAGTAGGCGGCAAGCCTCAAAGAAGTGGCGGTACTTGCCCTGTTTCATCAGGTTGGAGAGTTCAATGCAGGCACTGGGATGATTGTTGCAATACTCAGAGTATATGGCAAAGCCTTCTTGCTAAATTATAAAAAAGAAACATATTTTATTGATACAGCTAAACAGTTTGTTTTTTCAATTATCAAAATATATTAAAAACTCATGTTTCCTGATATACAGGGGTAATAGAGACACATGTGGTTGTAACCCTACATGTAACTGTAGCTTGCTTGCTCACATGTAGGGCTAAAATTTGGGCAAGCACATAAATAAACCTTGTCCTAGAGTTGACCCTTGTTTGTTGACTGCACAAATGTGTGCAAGACTTTTTGTTACCTCATTCAGCTCCATGTATTTATAGCATACACATTTTTGCACCCAGTATATGAAGGATTGGGAATGCTTTAACATTTGGCTTGTATGCCTTGTTAGGGAAAACTACCTTAAAATAAAGCAGAGCATCCAAAACAAACAGGATACTAAAGTTGAGCATTCAGCTCATAAGCGAGCAGAGCGTGAAGTGCTGTGTGATGTGGCTGTAAAGAATTTAGAGGTTGGGTAGGAAAAGATGCAGAGTCCAGTCTTAAAAATCACAAAAGGTTTATTTACAATAGGGATAGAAATTAGATACATTTCCAACTGTCATTCAGGAGACATGGGGGAAGGGAAACCCTCAGACTATTCTAAGCTAAGTAAACTGTTCCTCATTGAGGGCTGCAGACTTGAGCAATGTGGGGCTAAATTCCAACATGCGTAACTGTTATAGATCACATGAGTGCAGCAGAATTGATCAACTCACATGTTGAAGAAAGCAGGCTCCTATTTCACTTAAGTGGGGATCTTCTTTGTTGTACTGCTTTTCTAGATCTTTTAGGAATTTTCTTTGGAATTTGTAAATGTCTTCGATATTTCCAAATATTGTGTTTAGCTGGGCTGCAGTGAACATTCCAGTATGTTTACGACACTGCCGAATGTACCCCTAGAAATGATACGAACAAGGATCTTAATATTTGTTAAAACAGACGAAAGAAATGAAAATGCTAAAATTTATTTATTTATTTCAAGCATTTATATGCTGTCCTTCTTGACCTCTGAGGAGGGACTCAGAACAGCTTCCCATCAGGCAACAATTCAATGCCAAACATGATATGAAACGCATAATAAATACATCCATATACATTAAAATAGTCAAAAAATACATTAGAACTAGTTCGCCAGATTAAAATCACCATATTAAAATCGTCATCCAAAACAGTCTAAGTACAATCCAATAAAATCTTGTCTTGCCAGTAAAACAACTATTCTGTGAACGCTTAATCCCATAACCAGGATTTAAGTTTCTTCCAGAAGGTCATAAGGGAGGGGCGGATCTAACCTCTTATAGGAGGGAGTTCTACAGCCGAGGGGCTACCACGGAGAAGGCCCTGTCTCTTGTCCCCACCAAACACAACTGCGATGATGGTAGGACCGAGAGCAGGGCCTTCTCAGATGATCTTAAGGTCCTAGATGATTCGTAGAGGGAGATATGTTCGGACAGGTAAACTGGGCTGGAAACGTTTAGGGCTTTATAGGTTAACACCATCACTTTGAATTGAGCCTGGAAGCTAATAGGCAGCCAGTGGAGCTGGTGTAGCAAGGGAGTTATCCGCTCCCTGTACCCTGCTCTCGTGAACGTCCTGGCTGCCGAGCATTGGACTAGCTGAAGCTTCCGAACAGTCTTCAGAGGCAACCTCATGTAGAGTGCATTGCAGTAGTCTATTCGGGATATTGTGGACCACCGTGGCCAAGTCAGACCTCCCAAGATACGGGCGCAGCTGGTGCACAAGTTTTAACTGTGCAAAAGCTCCCCTGGCCACATCCAGTCTTAAGATTTCCTTGCCTTTTCTTTGCAAAATATCAAGTTGCACGGTATAAATTCTAATTCACTCTAGAACCAATGAGAAAAGGAGCCCAGAATGCAAGCTCATATACAAATTATACATGGCAATCATAATTTTTGCCACTTACTTTGAGTAAAAAAATACTTGCCCTGTGGAAAGAGATGGATAGCAAACTAAAGTTACATGCAGGATAGTTGCACTAAATTTCCTAAATAATATTACTCAATATAGTACTATGATAGTTGATGCCACAGCTGATCAGAGAAATGCAGCTGTGCTCTAAGTAATTCCCTTTGACTCCTGTTGCTCTCAGAGAATCTTTTTTCTATTAAGGGCCAGAGACCAACATAAAATATCACTCAGAAATTGGAGTTAGAAATTTAAATTTAGAGCATCATGTTGAAGACAGATCCAGAGCCGATTAAGTCAGATTCTAGGTTAATTAAGAAAAAAAAGTAGTAATCACAAAATAACTGTACTATGGCATTTTATGTGGGGAAACTAGCTAAACAAAAGACTAAAGAAGTCAAGCTAAGGTGACTAAATTGAGACTGTCACACTTTGGCTAGATTATGAGAAGACAGAACTCACTAGAAAGGAGCTCCTGGTGGCGCAATGGGTTGAACCCTTGTGCCAACAGGACTGCTGACCGAAAGGTTGGAGGTTTGAATCTGGGGAGTGGGGTGAGCTCCCAGCTCCAGCTTCTCATGCAGAGGCATGAGAGAAACCTCTTCGATCCTCTGGGGAGGCCCTGCAATTGCTCCCACCTCCATCACAAGCATGGCTTGTGGGGATGAGGGAGAGAGCCTTCTCCATTGTGGCCCCTCAGCTTTGGCACTCGCTACCTAGTGAGATTAGGTCCCCACTCTGGTAGCCTTTAAGAAAGGCCTAAAAACCTGGCTCTTCCAGCTTGCCTTTGACGAATGAACACATACCCCATACCATGTCCGTCCAATACAGATCTGTTCCCTCGTCCCTTAGTGAAGGTCAACCCCGTTGTTCGCCCCTTCTGAGTTCTCCCCTCAGACACACACTACTCCATTTACTTATCTCACCCAGGGTTTTATCAATTTCATCCTGTGCATTTGGCCTGCCCACTGTGATTTTATTCCCCCACCATTTTACTTTGCATTTGTTTATTGTATATTTGTTATTGTTTGCATCGTTAGCCGCCCCGAGTCCCCTTTGGAGAGATGGTGGCAGGGTATAAATAAAGTTTATGAATATTATTATTCCTGACACGGAAAAAAGAAGAAGAAAAAACCCAATAACACATGACAAGGTAGAAGGTGGTTGGAAAAGAGAATTTCAGATGAATAGTCTCAATCAAGGAGGCCATAGCCCTAAGTTTGCAAAATCTGGATAGGGCTGCTGCTGATATGGTGTCTTCGATGCCTCTCATTCATTGATTTGATAGTGGCAAACAACAAAAACAGCAGTGGTTATCCAGCCAACTAAGTCTAGTTTCTCTACTTTTCTGTCGCTTTCACCTTTCCAATTATCACTCCTTTCTCTCACCGCCTTTTGTTTTTCCTTCATCCCTCATTCTAATTGATCTCTCTGCCTTTTTTCTATTCCCCTCATTTTATTTCTGACTGTTGCTTTTGCTTGTCCAGATTCACCATCTAGCAATGATGTTCATTTCTCTCTACCTGCCTTCTCCACCTGACAAACAGGTGGTCCTCAAAGGCAACAGCAGGCTCACACTCAACACCAGCCAAGATGGGTGAGGAGGCCATTTGACCATAGATCCCTCACTCCAAAACAAAGCTGGACCTTTCCAGTAACAATAAAGAGCTTTATAGCTTACTTCACAGATGTCCTTGAGATGTTTGATGTAAATTCGCTCGGTATTCATGATTTCCCGAATAACATTTGTTCTCATCTGATCCTTGTTTTCTGCCATTTTTTGACGGTGCTTCCCAGGTTCTGCATTTGGCTCTTCATCTTGGAGGCTGCCACAGTTTTCTGCAAGTTCTTCCTGGTTGACCCGAAGCTGGAACAATAAAAATTAAAAACAAAATGAACTGAAGTGCAGACAACACTGGAAATACAAAATCATCTGTTACTAAAAGCAAGGCATTTAAATAATCATTTTTTAAAAAAACTGCATACTTTGGCTTCAAGCACCAGGTAGGTGGGGTGAGTGGTACCAAAGGTAGGGGCTTCTTGGAATGCCACGCTAGGGAAATAACTCTCAGATAGCAACCACACCCAGAAGTTACTTTTTAAAACCATACCTCCTGAATTAACCAAATAATTGTAAAGCTTTTTTAAAAAAAATGTGTCAGAAGTGACTTGAGAACATACTGCAGGTCGCTTCTGGTGTGAGAGAATTCTCTCACCCCATCTCACAGATTCGAACTGGCAACCTTCAGGTCAGCCGTCACAGCTCCTATAGTGTGAAGCTGCAATCCAAAAAAGTAACTTTTCCAAGCTGTGGCTAGCAGATAATGAGAAGGTAGTATGTTTGAGAACCTAAACAGCAGCAGCCAATCTGAGGAAGCAATAATAAACTATAAAAATATAGACAATCTGATTTGGGCTAAGACAGTCTCCTGTGTTTTTTATACATACTAGAGTTTAATCTCTACTAAATTAACTGAAATGTAACACTGCTCACTAGTAGGAAATAAACTGATGACTTTGCAAGACATCCAGGTTTCACGATCTCAAGTCATTTGGTGCTTTAGATGTGTTTATTAGAACTTGAAATCAGACTGGAGGCGTATTGGCAGCCAGCCAGTTCCTTTAAAACTGGTATTAGATGGTTTCTGTAGAATGTTTTGGTCAGTAATCAAGTTGCACATTTTGCACTAATTGTAGCTTCCAGGTTGTCTCTAAGGTCTGCTTCATATACACACATTATAGTAGTCTAATTGGATAGTTACCAGCACATGCTACTGTCACCAGATTATTTCTGTCCAGGACAAGCTATAGCCAGCAGATCTTATTGACTTAGGTGATCCCTCGCTGTCCGAGTAAGATTGTCCTCCAATCTCTGGTAAGTACGTAGGTGACTGTGGAACCCTATTCTTGACTCGCATGTTCTCCTGAAGTGAGGGCATCCGTTTCCAGGTGGAAGGTGGACCTGGTCGGGGTTCGCTTGACGTGCCTTCCTCTTGGCACGCTTCTCTCTTTTTCCTTCCATTCATGCCTCTTCAAATTCTACAGCATTGCTGGTCATAGCTAACCTCCAGCTAGAGTGCTCAAGGGCCAGGGCTTCCCAGTTCTCGGTGTCTACGCCAGAGCTTTTAAGGTTGGCTTTGAGCTAATATTTAAATATCTTTTCCTGTCCTCCAACATTCGATTTTTCGTTCTTGAGTTGGGAGTATAGAAACTGCTTTGGGAGTCAGTGATGGGGCATTCAGACAATGTGGCCGATCCATTGGAGTTGATGGCRGAGGACCATCACTTCAATGCTGGTGGTCTTTGCTTCTTCCAGCATGCTGACATTTGTCCGCCTGTCTTYCCAAGAGATTTGCAGGATTTTTCAGAGGTAACGCTGATGGAATCGTTCCAGGAGCTGCATGTGATGTCTGTAGATAGTCCACGTTTCGCAGGCATATAGTAGGGTTGGGAGGACAATAGCTTTAGAAACAAGCACTTTGGTATCGCTGCGTATGTCCTGATCCACAAACACTCTCTGCTTCATTTAGAAAAATGCTGCACTTGCAGAGCTCAGGCAGTGTTGTATTTCAGTGTCAATGGTGAATCTTGTGGAGAGGTGGCTGCCAAGGTAGCAGAAATGGTCAAATTTTTTATGTTACATCATTAAGCTGTATTCAGAGCATCTCAAACTGGTCTCAAGAACTCAGTCTATGAAGGCATTCAGAGACAGAGATGGATCCAGAAGTATTCCCAAGCTGTGCTCCTGCTCCCTCAGGGGGAATGCAAGGGTAGATCACTTCTCCAATTCCCAATTGACTTGCTGTGATGCTTCTTCGGTTTGCTGGCCATCATCCAGCCCATAACAGCATCTGGCACTGAACGGCCCCAGCCGATTCCAATAACAAGGAGAAGTAGAGCTGAATATTATGAACATGCTAACACTACCCAACCTCCAAACTCTTAATGACCTCAGCAGTGGCTTCAATTTGAACAGCAGGAGAAACAGGAATTCCCAGTGCAATTCTCTGGAACTATCCAAGTAGATAGAAGAACTGTCACACCATAGTGCCTTGAATCCCAATCCACAGAAACAAACCCATAGCACACCATGGTCAGTGGTGTGGACAGCTGCTGAGGGATCTAAGAAGATCCTGATAGAACCTTATTATATAAATGTGCAAGTGAAATAGTTTTGATGGAGATACGCAGCTTTAAACCCTTTCTTAGTAATCCAACCCCTTTTATACAGTGTCATTCATTTTAAACACAACTATTAATATTTAGTAAATTCACCTCTTTGTCCAGTGCAAGGTTGATGAGATATTTAAAGTAAATCCTTAAAAATGAGCATTAAAGAGATATCTTTGAAACAAAATAAAAAGTGGTCAAAAAAGCAGTTTCCAATTAATATCAACCAACCTTAAAGATAAAACCTTTCAAATCTTTATACTGACAGGTTAGTATTGCTATAGGCTTTTAAAAGTGATTAATTATGTATGTTATTAAATAAAAAACAACCAAAGTTTCGGCAACTTGGAATGCTTAATATCTTTGGGTGTCTGACTGGCACTGAAAGCAATGTAATACCCATTTCAAAAGGCTCGGAAGATTTTCTGTTAAATTTCACTAATGGTCATTGTGAGAGAAATGTGATTTACTAAGTGGTCCTCAGGCTGCAAAGCATTCATGAATGCAGAACACTTTTTGGAATGTCACCATACACTTATTAATGCAGCAATGTTGATAAGTGTTCAGTGTATAGTTCAATTATTCCTGCAAAAATAATGATGGCTTCCAAACTGGACAGCTTTTAAAAAAAGGACTATATATATTGGTGGAAGATGGTGCTATCAGTGGCTACTTGCTCTTTTAGAATCATATAGTTGGAAGAGACCTCGTGGGCCAACCCCCTGCCAAGAAGCAGGAAAACCACATTCAAAGCACCCCTGATAGATGGCCATCCAGCCTCTGTTTAAAAGCCTCCAAAAGAAGGTGACTCCACTACACTTCAGGGCAGAGAATTCCACTGCTGAACAGCTCTCAGAGTCAGGAAGTTCTTCCTAATGTTCAGGTGCCAACCCCTTTCCTGTAGTTTGAAGGCATTGTTCTGCATTCTAGTCTCCAGGGCAGCAGAAAACAAGTCTGCTCTCTCCTCCTTATGACTTCCCCTCAAATATTTATACATGGCTACCATGTCTCCTCTCAACCTTCTTTCCTTCGGGCTAAATATGCCCAGCTCTTTAAGCCGCTCCTCATAGGGCTTGTTCTCCAGACCCTTGATCATTTTAGTCGCCCTCCTCTGGACAAATGCCAGCCTGTCAACATCTCCCTTCAATTGCGGTGTCCAGAATTGGACACAGTATTCCAGGTGTAGTCTGCCTAAGGTAGAATAGAGAGGTAAGAATGTCTTCCCTGGATCTAGACACTATACTCCTATTTATGCAGGCCAAAATCCCATTGGCTTTTTAAGCTGCTGTTGGCTCATGTTTAACTTGCTGTCCACAAGGATTCCAAGATCTTTTTCACACTTACTGCTATCGAGCCAGCCCCCCCCCCCCCCCAATTCTGTATCTTTGCATTTCATTTTTTCTGCCTAAGTGGAGTATCTTGCATTTGTCGCTGTTGAGCTTCATTTTGTTGGTTTTGGCCCATCTCTCTCATCTGTTAAGATACTATATCTACTGGTATATAAGTCAATCCCATTTAAACATGAGCACATACAGTATATACATTCTCCAATAAATACCAGGACAATATAACCCGGTATGTTAGTTGTTGTACAACGTGAGTGTGACAGTAAAGCTAAGCTTACATCTTGCTTGTGAGCTTTTCATAAGAAACTGGTTGATAACTTTTGTTATCAAATACTGGAGTAGATAAGCCTTTTTTCTAATTCAGCAGGGTGATTTATGTTCTTTGATGGTAAAAAATTGGGCAATTAACTGAAGATTTTACAGGACGCATTCAGGAAGGGCGATACCAGTGTGAATGCACTGACTCATAACCCTTTCCCCTTCTCTTACTTTTTATTCCCCTTCTTCTTACAGAAACAGAAGTAAAATTTAGCCTCACACATCTTAAAAACAGTCATGCAACTTCATTCTGTGCTTATTTATGGGGCTTTCTCTCAAGGGTGTGCACACAGACGTAATATCTCATTCAAGAAAGACATGGCAAAGTTTGGAGGAAGGGCAGAATATTAGCAAAGGGTTCCCAGAGACTACTTTAAACTGAGTAACTCTTACTACAAAATTAACTTTCCCAATTATATTGGATGAATTAATGGATTCCACTGTTTTATAAACGTTGTCCAATGCCTTCTTAGTCAACAGATTCTGTTTTTCTCTTAGTGTCTTCTTCTGAGCACACGAATAATAATGAAGTACTTCTATGAAGGGGAGACAGGTAAAGGCAAAAGTTTCCTTTGACAGCAAGTCTAGTTGTGTCTGACTCTGTGGGGTGGTGCTCATCTCCATTTCTAAGTCGAAGAACCGGCGTTGTCCGTAGACACCTCCAAAGTCATGTGGCCGGCATGATTGCATGGAGCACCTTCCCGCAGAGGTGGTACTTATTGATCTACTCACTTTTGTATGTTTTTGAACTGCTAGGTTGGCAGAAGCTGGGCCTAAAAGCAGGAGCTCACCGTGCTCCCTGGATTCGAACCATCAACCTTTCGGTCAGCAAGTAGAGCAGCTCAGCTGTTTAACCCGCTGTGCCACCAGGTCCACCACAATGAGCAGTCATATAGAGATCCAAAAGTACAAAATTTAGACTTTGCTACCAGGCGGTCTCAAGCTCCAACCTACAATCTGCTACCATGTTGATGTTACTTAGACGATCCCTTGTTGTCCGAGTAAGATTGTCCTCCAAGTTTGGTGGGTATGTAGGTGACTGTGAAGCACTATTCTTGACTTGCATGTTCTCCCGCAGTGAGGGCATCGGTTTCCAGGTGGAAGACGGTCCCAGTCAGGGTTGGATTGACGCACCTTCCTCTTGGCACGTTTCTCTCTTTCGCCCTCCATTTGTGCCTCTTCAAATTCTACAGTACTGCTGGTCACAGCTGACCTCCAGCTAGAGCGCTCAAGGGCCAGGGCTTCCCAGTTCTCGGTGCCTATGCCACCGTTTTTAAGGTTGGCTTTGAGCCCATGTTGATGTTACGAATGGGAAGAGAAGCCATACAAAAAGGAAGAGCACAAAACTATACATAAGGTATAAACATCTTGCTTTACTCACCCTGACAAAACTAGCCGGAAACCAGGCTTCCTTGTCCTCATTTCTTCCCCACCACCAGTCCTTGTTTGAAGCTTCAAGGACTTGGATGACATCCCCAGCTTTGAAGGCTAATTCCTGGTCATCCATGGTCACGTGATCCCAGAGTGCCTCTGCATACACCATGCTCCCATCGCTTATCAACTGAAACATAAACATTCGGTGAAGAGCAACAATTCTGTTGGGATGGCCAAAGACAAATGCATGAAGTAGCTATCTGCAGATGCAGAAAATAGAGATATTGTGCTAATTACATCTGTCTACACAGATATCTTCTTCTCAACATGACAAATAAACAAACAATTTGTAAGTTGACAATAAAAGAATTATGCATTTTGATCTGACCCACAGGGAAGTTGATTATGATCTCACAAATGTGATGGTTTCTCAGTGAAGTTTAAACTTTATCAAGTTTGCAGGCAAGATTCACACATAACTTCTCTTTTTAATTACCTCGTTAATGGCTAGCTGTTCTCCTCCAGGCTGCAAATACCTCGGGGTGGCTTGGCAGAGCTCCTCATAGCTGTAATCTTCCTCACTACCATTGTCATCCACTAAGGCAGAAGACTCAGTCCCACCATCTACAGCACCTGGCATGAAAGTGAAATGTTGAGTCATAAAGGTATAATCAAAGTCAGTACTGTAAATTTTTTGGCAGTGTGTGTGTGTGTGTGTGGGGGGGGGGGGGGGGGGGGCGTTAATCTTCATATTAAATAGGCATATTATTCTGATCTTCCTATCCTTTTAATCACTTGCATGAACGACACAAAGACTCACTGGAAGAAAGAAGACAGGGAGAATCTTGAATCAATATTAAGAGCCAGTGTACACATTATGCCAAGCTGATACAACCTAAAAATAATACTGCAGTATTCATGCCCAGCCAAACCTTTTTCTAGGACACCCAATTCCATTTTCTCCTTTCTCTCAATTTGATCAGCAGTGTATGCTCAATGAGCATAGTCTTCACAGGGATGTTTTGGAGTTTTATCTGCTTTAGGGTCCGTCCCGCCCTCCCAAGGGGTTCTTCTTATACTCTTGGTACAAACCATGAGATTTCTGTATAAAAACTCCTTAATGGCCGTCTGGGCAGGGGTCAAAGTATCCCACCGCTGCCCCACCAATTATAATAACTAGGCAGATGGCAATACGATCAATCCCACCATCTGACACCAAATATAAAGGCAGGCTTTATGGCCAAACAATATGACTGGACAGGGGGCAAACAGATCCCAACCACTGTCCCTCCTTTAATAAGGACTTCACACCACTTTATAAGGACTTCACTAGCACCCACACAACGCTTGAGGGAACGTCTCTCTATTTAAAACCTTCGCTGCCACCATAAACTAAAAGAATCAGGAACCCTCTAGCTGGTTAAAAATAAGAAAAGGCTTTTTAAAACACCAAGGACTGTGACTTTTAGAAGGGCTTCTTTGTAAGAAAACAGATGAGGTTGATTCACAAAGGAAAGGGACTCAAACCACAAATGGCACTTGACTCAGGCTTAAGTTTTAAAAATAACAAGAAAGAGTTTATTGAATACAAGTTACAGGATAAAGCAAATGCAGTTGTAATAAGCTTGGCTGTTACAGATAGAATGTTCTTGTTCTTAAAAGCGTGACGGTTGCAAGAGAATGGTTCTTTCTTTGTTACAGTTACTATTACAAAACCCAGCTATTTCTTCCCTAAATAGCTGTAACCAGTTTGCCACAGCCTACTTCACTGGCAAACTCCAGGCAAACTGCCTATTCTTATCACGAACTCCTAAAAGCTTCTCTAACCCTGCTCTAACTCTAACATCAACCAGAACTGACTGACTAACTAAGAAAGCTTCTTACTTTCCCTCCAACAGTCTAACTCCGCCCCCCTTTTACAAACCAATCCTGGCTGTTTCAGGGCTGGCTCAGGCCTAGGCCACTCCCCCTCTCTGAACTGGAGCTTTCCCTAAACTAAGATGGCTCCTGCTGCCCTCTGCCAGGCCTTCTAAGCTGAAACTACCTAGCCTGTCTCTCCTAGGCCCTGCCACCCAGGCTGGCAAGGTAAGGGATCTTCACACCCCCTTCCCAATGTTTTGGCTATTCCATGTGCAGAGAATGTGTTTGCTATCTGTATCTCAACTATACCACTTTTAAGGCACATGATTTGGAGGTGATAATATTTTTGAACGTTTGTCCAATGTAAAAAGCCAACAAGAGCTACACTTAACTAGTCTAGATCTCTCCCTAACATGTTTACTATTTGCAATGAACGTACTGTGTATGGCACGTACTGTGTGTGGCAAATAGTACCAGAATATTTATATTATTCTCTGTGAATGGCCATTGTCACTATTAGTACTTTTTGCATTTAGTTTCTCTTTGACTTCCCTACAGCCCTTGCCCCAACCACATGTTCTGTGTGTATACATGAAATTCTGGATAAAATTCCACCTATCTGATGAAGTGGGCTGTGGTTCACAAAAAAAAGCCCGCATTAGAATAGGATTGTTATTTTTTCAGATGCAATTTTAGCTCGTATATTTACTGATTTTTTTTACTCCTATGGTTTGTATTTCATTCTACTTTACCGTTTCAATAATTGAACTTTTTATTGAGTTGGATTTTTAAAAAGATTTAATGTTGGATTTTTAAAACTATTATTGTTGCTTTGTTTTAACTGATAATATATTATATCTAGGGAACTTGTTTTATAGATGTCTAACAAATGTAATTAACAAACAAATTGTCTAATCATTAAAAAGCCTTCCTACAAGAAAATATGGTGTTTGTAGAAAAAACAAAGAGAAAACAAGAAAGGCTAATGTGATATAGTAATTAGTGAATTTGGAACTATCACATTGAGAACAATGAGAACTAAATCAAGGTAACCAATTAGACAAATTCTAAAAATACATCCTTGTAGGAGCGGTTTGTAGGATCATTTGTGAGTGGGATTCTTCCAAAACCCAGGGAATTCAAGGAAGAACATAATGTAAAGTACTTCTCAAATGGATTGCTTGGTCCTAAGAATGCTTTGCAAACTATTTTTGGATGTTGGGATATTGCAGGAAGAGGTGAGAGAGTTTCATATTCAGTTGAGCAATACCATACAGACTTAAATCAAGGTAGAATGATTATACTAAGCTTCCTTGAGGAAAATGTCTTGCAAAAGATATAGAAAATAGGCATCATATAAAAGTGAGACCAAGAAAAAATTCAAGACTAGATGATTCAGTTTTAGAGGCTGGAACAATGTAACGTCATAACTTGTTGCATCACAGTGTATCTGAATCTCGTCTCGCATTATTTGCAATTTGGGTAATCCCAAAAGGAAGCACCTCCACTTTCTTCTTTCATGCCAGTATGAGCAAGTACAATCTCATTTGCTGGAAATTGGTGAACAACCCCTACTACAGAGGCCAGAAGTGCTAAGTTCACCTGAAATACAAGGCAGGCTGCCTGGGACGCAGAGCAGGAGGGCCTACCATCCTGGTTGAACCTATGATCTAGACCAGTGATTCTCAACTTGTGGGTCCCCAGGTGTTTTGGCCTACAACTCCCAGTAATCCCAGCCAGTTTACCAGCTGTTAGGATTTACGGGAGTTGAAGCCCAAAACATCTGGGGACCCACAAGTTGAGAACCACTGATCTAGACTTTTCCCCGCATGACTCCTTTTGACCTGATAAATTTTTACGTGATTCCGAGTATATAGGTATACAACATAGGTATAAAAATCAAACATTTACTGATAAGAAACCAGCATTTGCAAAAACTTGCTGAATAGCCTGATTTTCCTCTCTATGGAGTACAGTTGAAGCAACTTCTGCAAAGTCCACTGTAAACACCGCACAGTAGATTCATGTAAGTATCTAAAATGCCACAAACTTTTACTGTAGCCAATTTTTTCAGGACTCCAACATTGAGATAAGGGGGATCCCATTTGGGGTTGGGATTGACAGTTTAAGAAGTAGTGATCTAGACCTTCAATTGTGCCTAAAGAATTGGAACTGCACAGCTACTAGCTCCCCAAATCAATGGTGTAGAAGGAAAACCATACCAAGCTCAGTGTGGTGGAAATGTCTTCAACATCCCCAAATGTTAGCAACTAGGTTTTCATGACAATATGTGGCAAAAAGTGCCACATACAAGCATTTATCTTTGTTCTGCTTTTTTGTCTGAATTCTTCTTGCATTATCGGAGACATTTTAAAGAGATGAAGCATGAAAGCCACACCAAAGTGCAGAAAGGCTCAGCGTGGTGGTAACGTCTCATACTTTGGACCTCTCCAGAAGTTACTCACTAGGTTCCTATGACATACAGCATGACAAAAGTGCCACATACAACTATTTCTTTTCTATTTTCACTGTTCTAACCTTTCCAAGGCTTTTGGCATTATGTGAGACATAATTTTAAGAGAGAAAACAAGATTTCTTAGTGGATTTTATTCCTCTGAGGACCAGCTCTGTATATTCTGTCACTCAGACTAACATTAGAGGCTTAACACTCTAACTTCAAATTTGATTTAGAAAGCATTAATCTCTATCATAATAACTTACAACATAAGAAACATTCCTGAAATGTGGGATTATCAATCAAAATGGAAGTTAATAAGCTTAGAACATTACAGTATAAACACACATAGTGAAAGATGACTTAGATATAGGTTTACAAATTGCTCCTAAACTAGCAGTGCAGTCGGAATATCTCCTCTACAGTCATCTATTGTGAATATTAATGTACAAATATGATACACAAGTATTCAAAAAGAGTCACAAATAGCTAACTATCTTTTGCTCTGTGTAGCCATACACAGGCATGAATAGGCAATTCCTATCTCTCTAATGGAATGTCAAAACTAAAAACAAAACAAAACCCAGCACAGAATTGTTTTGTTCATGACAATATTTTACTGTGATCTGCAAGTTTTACTAGTGCAAGCATTATTTTATATCAAGTCAAGCCCCATGACTACAGCAGTTTCAAATGCAAACAGCACAGACAATAAATGGAGTTCATCTCCTACATAAACATACCTATCTGAAGGCTCTCCAGACTCCAAAAGCGGATCATTTCCCCTCTGGCTACCATCCTGCCTTCCAGAAATAATTCAGGTAGAATTTGTTTGTAATAGGTAAGGGTTAGCCCTTTAAATAAAAAATCACTGTGGACCAAGGAGGCTGCAAGCTACTGGAAATGCAGAAATAGCTTATTCATCGCTTTGAGCTTCTGTTTGTGCATTTCAGGGCAGAGACTACTTTGAAACTGACAGCTCACTCCCTGTACAGTGCAGGCTGTGAGTTTAGTGCCTTCAGTGACATCATGGGGGACCCTTAGGGAGGAAGTTACCAGGCACACAGAAACACACACACACACACAGAGTGAGTGCTCATCCACATAATGCATGCACACAGAGGTCTAATGCCTTACAGATTTATTATTGCAATTCTGAGATGCATCTCTATTTTTCTTTTGTTCAATCCAGGGGAAAAGGTTCTACTGGGTTCCTTTTCTCCATCACATGCTTAAAAATGAATGACTTGGTGCAAGCTGTGTTGCAACCACATTATTTCAGACTGTAAGTGGCAAACGGCTGTTTTAAATATTAAAT